TGAGCAAATATATCTGTATTCAAGAGAGTAGATTGGCTAAAAGACAGAACACTGTACTTTAGAAGAAGGTGCTGGAGAAATATGGATGTAGAGCACTGTATGATACTGTACAAAAGTGCTACACACTATATGTAGTAGTTATAGTGGGACGCAAGCCAATAAGGCATTTTTTCTGAGGCTGAACAGACCATGAGGGCCACAGTGTTGAAGAATTATGACTCAACAGACTGTATTACAGAAATAACAAACGTGTTTATCAGACAGTATTAATATAACAGCTCTATCACAGCGTTAAATCACAGCGTTAAATGACCCCATGATCACGTACAGCTGTATCACATCATTCCATCACAGCGCTACGTCACACTGTCAGGACACCATCATTTTACACTGCTCTGTTGAACCACTGTATCACACCACTCTATCATCACTCTCACACCTCTGTATCTCACAGCTGTATCACCCCATTCTATCACACCTCTGTATTGCACCACTGTAGTGCACCATTGTATCACACCATATACAGGTGAAATGCTGAGCTACATTTTAAAAGTATGAAGGGTGATGTTTAAATAAAATTCTATATTATAATTATTACTAAAATTAATATTATTATTGTTATTATTATTAAAATATGACTGTATCACACTGCTGTATCACTTCACTGAATTGCACCCTTCTATCACACTGCTGTAGGTCATACGCTGTAAGTCATCTGTGCAGGAGTGTTTTTTCAGTTCTGCTCCTGCAGAAAACCGTAATCATTTCTCCCAATCCCGCCCGCAACTGAAACAATTTGTCCTGCTCCCACCCGCATAGAAAGATATACAGACATTCCTTTTTACAGACAGACAAATGGTCACATCAGTCACTCTGCTCAAAAGAATTATCATTTGTAAATGTACAAGGTATATTTGTTTATCTTGGACAGCATTCTGACTTGTGATTAGGCAAAAGTTTCAAGCCTGGTCTGTCTGCAGCACGGAATGTTTACTTAGTATTTCATCATCATGAATCATTTTTAAATTTTTTTAAGCGGCCTTCTTTTTAATTTTCATTGATTTTGTGGCTTATTTCAGTGTATTTTGCTGCATGAGGCATGCAGGCGCAGAAAGAAATGACTCCGGGTCTATTCTCTAAACACTGTGCTGCTTCAGTGTGGCGTCTGGGACTCTTTGCATGCGCAGCCAGTGTGAAAGCGCTGACCACTTAACATGGGCACCAAAATGAAAAGCAAGGCCTCCCACTCCACGCAGAAGCAGTATGTGTGAATCAGGTCTATGAGAATTTGTGTGTTGTTCACATGATCGGCTGCTTGAGAATGACTTTATTCATTTTGAATGTTCTACTGTTATCATTTTATATTGTTTGCTTATGTGATTTAGTTATCATTCTACTTTATTTAGGCTGTTCCTTAATTTGTGGGATTTCTCTTCATGCCTTCTTCTGCCCGCACCCACCTGAAGGGGTCTGATTTCCCACCCGGTCCTGCGAGCAACACTGAAAATTAGTCCCGCGCCACAAGATATTGTGTGTATCACACAGTTCTATTGGCATCACAGTATTGCACCACTCACACTGCTGTATCGTACCATTGTATCAACAGCTCTAACACACAGCTCTGTCACACCGCTCTATCACACAGCACTAACACACCATTGTATCTCACCATTGTATCATATCACTGTATTGCACCTCTGTATCGCACCACTCTATTACATTGCTGTATCACACCCCTTTATCACAACGCTGTATCACCACGACATCACACCATATCACACAGCTCTATCGCAGCACTGTAGCACACCACTGTATTACATCGCTGTATCACACTGCTGGATCACACCCCTTTATCACAACACTGTATCACCACGATATCACACCTCTGTATTACACCACCCTATCACACTGCAGTATTACCCTGCTGTATCATACAGCTGTACGGCACCACTCTATCAGAGTGCTGTATCACACCACTCTATCACACCACTCTATCACACCACTGTATCACACTGCTGTATCACACCACTGTATCATACTGCTGCATCACACTGCTGTATCATATATATGGACAAAAGTATATCAGAGAGCTAAAAACAGTAGCAGTCAGTATCAAACCTGAATTTTGTCCACACTTTCATCCCTGTTTATAGATCAGCTTGTCATACAGTGTCAGAAACCACACAACCAAGTCGAACACCAAACATCACACCACAAAGAACTGATTTTTTACAAACTATTTTCCTTTAATGTTCTCTGCTGCTGAAAATTCCAGGGTTGAAATTCACTGGACCTGATTAAAGGTTTCAAATGATCCTCCTGCAGGCAATTTCAAACAGCAGCGCTGTCTTTAATAACAGATGTAGAGAGGAGAGCACAGAAGAGACGGCTCATCCTCAGGTCTCAGAATAGGCCTTAATTGACCGGGAATTGGGCCTAATGTCCTTCCTTATCCGTGCATCGTAATTTATCAGTCAATAGAGAAAATGAGAGGCTGGACACAGAGAAAGGGCCACTGGACTCCTGTTTCTGCACTCATCCACTCGTCTAGGACCAGTTTTCAGAACAATCAGTGGCTCCTTCAAACAGCTGGACTTTGCTCCCTCTCAGTCCATCTGTCTGTAATGAGACTCAGTTGTTGTGTTATGTAACGCTGGCAGTGCTGTTTGTGTTTGTGAGTGCAAAATGTAGACGTGGATGTTTGGAGTGTTCATTAGCGCTGGCGGTAAAACACACTCACACTGCTATCTGCAAAAATGGACAAAAGCATACCGCACAGATAAAAAACAGTTGTAGCAGCCGTATTGAAGCCTGGATTTTGTCCATGTTTGTAGGTATTAGTGTCAGAAACCACGTCTGGGGACAACTCTGAGAAGTCTTTCTAAATGTGAGGGAATGTTATTGGAATGGGAACAAACAGAGAGTAAAATTTCTAAGCCAGTTCATTGTGAAGACAAAGCTCGCAGTAGGGGGCGCTGGTGTGCTTGACCACATTGCCCAATGGACAACAAGCCTGTCACTAGCACATGGATGGTACATTCAGGAGCTTTAAGGTCATTTAGAGCTTTAAAAACCAGCAGCAGAGCTTTAAAATGTCTCCTAAAAGATCCAGGCGGTCAGTGCAGTGTGTAAACGGGGGTGATCTGAGCTCTGTGTGTTGGTGTGAGGATCAGTGCTGCTGCGTTCTGTACGAGTTGTAGAGGATGGACTGTTTCCTCCAGTAAGAAGATCATTACAGTGATCAACTCTGCTGAAGAAATGCAGCAACAAGTTTCTCTACGTCTCTCTGAGAGAGAAAAGGCTGAACTTTAGTGATATTTCTCAAATGATGAAAAGCAGTTTTTGTGACTGTGTTTACATGCGGGATTAAACAGAACTCAGCATCTAAAGCTACATTCACACAGTAGGTGTAAGTGGCCCAAATCCAATTTTCACACCAAATCCGATTTTTTTTTGTTTGGCTGTTCACAAAATCTTTTAAATGTGACCTATATGCAACATCAGTCTGAACAGATCAGCTCCTAAACTGACCCGCATGTGCAGAAAAACAATGCTTCACATGGTGCGTTTATACTGAGGTAAACAATCATGACTGCCAATGATTGCAGTTTAGTTTCGTCTTCGCCAGCATAACCAGAGTGATCATGAAGCTTCATTGACTGACAGCTGGGCTCATCACCCAGAATGTGTTCAGCGCCAAAGTTTGTGTCTATGGATTCTTTAACCTTTGCTTTCAGATTTTTAACCGTTCTTTGATGCCGCAGCCTTGTTCTCCTACAACGGAGTTCGGTCATTCTTCGAACACAAAGGGGTTTGGAAAAGTCTGTTTTAATTTTTGTACAGAAACATCAGACGTTTATGAGGTCTCGGCAGCATGAAATTATGATGAGTGGGTGGCAGGTGGGTAACCAGCCCCCTGCAAGCGGGAGAGAGACTAAGCACACACGAAGAGAAATCCCTCAAATTAATGAACAGCTTGAATAAAGTAGAGCAATCACTAAATCATATATAAACAATATGAAATCATACCAGTAAAATAGTTAAAATGAATGAAGTCATTCTAATGAGCTGTGAAGCAGCCAATCAACATGCAGATTCTCGTAGCTTACAGAGAGAGCGGAGCCTTCAATCTAACAGCCACAGCTGACCAGCAAAACAGCAAAAATAACCGCTCTGTGGTTTAATTCCTGCTTTGTGTTTACTGGGATCAAATGGCGTTATGACCATGACTGCTGTGTTACTTCAGCAGAGAATGTGTTTGTGAATAGATTGTGTCAGATTTTGGATGTCAGGTCGCTTTGACGGAGCTGTGTGGGTGGGACAAAACGTTTTGGTTGCGGACAGGGGCGGGACAAATTATTCAGATTTTCTGCTGAAGCAGGACTGAAAAACAGTCCAGTGCAACCTTTGTTACAGTTGAAAGAAGTGTCATTACTGAGGAGAATAAAAACAGGCTGAAATATGGCGCGTGTGCACTGCTGAGTCGTCCTGAAATAATCAAAGAAAAGTTCTGATGTACTGACCCCTCCCCTGTGTCCTGTCCACAGGATCAGTGTGTAACTAATGTAACTAATATGAAACTAACGTCTTCATATTATTTCGCTGTTCATATTTACACAGACAGCTACTGTACATTCTTTTACTCTGCATAGTTATCATTTTACATATGCTGCTGTGACAGTACATACTACCTACACTTGCATTCTCTCCACTCACTCTGTATATATGTGTATTATATTTATATTTGCAACATCTATTTTTTACCACTCTACCATCCTTACCTGTACATATTGTACGTGTCAATTGTCAGCTCCTGCACTTTATATGTAAATAATACTGTATTTTGCACTTCTGGTTAGATACTAACTGCATTTCATTTGTTCTGTACCTGAACTCTGCACACTGACAATAAAGTTGAATCTAGTCTAATCTAACTAATAAATTTTGGACTAAAGTGTGATTTAGAGAGATGCTCAATGCTGACTGGCTGATCGGCTCACCTTCTCTCCCGGCTGTGGCCTCATCACAGAGACACGGTCGTATCCTCTTCTCAGCCAAACGACCAGAGCGTCAAGCTTCCCCTAAAAGACAACACAGCACAACACATTAAACACATGACAGAAAACAAACAGGCGTCACTGTAAACTAGGGGTCGACGATATCAAGTTAAATCTATATCACCGGTTTTTCTACTGTGAAAATGTTTCACAGCATAAAACTGATGTAATGCTATCTAACTAATAGTGCATTAAATGCTATGTAGTTGATTTTCTAAGTGAAAATAAGTGAACTTATGCAAAGTCTTCTACAGAAAACACAATTTTGCACACTTTAATGTACATTTTGGGGTTTAAAAAGTTTGGCTTGTGCAAAAGTTACAGCACATTTTATGTTTTATGTTTTCCAATATGTTCAGCAAATAAATAGAAATTTGTGCACTAAGATTTGCTTATTTTTACTGAGAAAATCAACAAAACATGTCATTTGTCCAGGAATGTTCATACTTTTCCATACAACTGTATGTTTAATACAGTTCCACATTGTATACTGTAAATATAGTATCAGAACTGCGTTCCACAGTCCATATGAGGAACATCATTTAATGTTAATACAGAATTCAGTTGTGCACTTATAAGTTTGTGTATATTAAGCAATAAGCCATGAGAGGCTGTGCACTACTGTGATTACAGGCACGATGTAAAGCTGAGTAAAACTTCCTTCCCCATGATAAAATTACTGTAACGCACAGCCTCAAGAGGCTTATTGCTTTTAATAGCAACTCAAAATAAAATATGATAAAATTGACAATTTTCAATGAATAGTTTAAGTCATTGTTAATATTAGTTGATATAAACAAGTATTCCGCCAAGAAATGTAGTTCCTTTAGAGTACGGTATTGTTGCCAAGCAACCATAGACCACTGAATAAGAGGAGAATATGCGGTTGGCCATTGCTGCACGCTGTATACTGTCATTTCATTTTAAACTTTTTCTCATATAATCATGAGCATTTCATAACATATTAATGCAAACATCTGTGCTTTATAAGTGCTTTTTGGTCACTAAATCACCACCGCAAGTCTTAATTAGCACGAATCCAGCGGCGCCCCTCTTCTCGTGATGGGGTGAATCTCAAACGACTGCCTGCTCCCTACATAGTGCACTATGTAGAAATTTAAATACTGGATCTTGCAGCCCAACAGTGCAAAATATAGCTAAAGAGTAGTCATTTGTAGACACATCCGTATTTTGAGAAATAGTGCACTGTTTGGCTGTAGAAGCTAGAATTTCAAAACTTCCCTAGCATTCTATTTAGGGAGTACGGAACCATTTGGAATTCAGCCTGGGCTTGATGCTACTTCTGACTGAAGCATGGACATTTGAAGCAAGTAAGACAATCAAGTGACAATTTTTAGTCTTTTATATTGCAGTTTTACAGTGAATCATATCATAAGTGCTTTAATTCAAGCCTGTGATACTAAAGATGGAGCTGTTTAGCATGTTTCCTATCTTTTAGCCTGTTAGCAAGCTGACCAGCCTGTTTCTAGATAAGAAAATACACTCAGCCTCTCAGTTTAAACAGAACCGGGTTCTTACTTCATCAGTACACTCAGTGCTCTATGCGAGCAACATTAAAGTCAAAGATTATTCCTTTAACAGCACAAGAATTTGTTGATATGGCGCAGTAATACAGAGTTGAGCTGCTGTGATGCTTTGAACTTAGCTTAGCCAATCAGATTTCATAACCAGAACTATCCATTTTCTTTTTGATATTTTGATGAGTTGTGTCCTTAACTTTAGGTTGGCAGTTAACAATAAATCTCTGTCCTATGACAATCAGCTATGATCAAGTGAAATTTTGCATTACTAATTAGCATGATTATTGGTTTATATAGGCTTCCATTACTTGTTAGTATCACTAGTCTCATAGCTCCAGCACAAAAACTAATGAAGCAAACAGACACTAAACTTGTCCTGGCTGATCAACTATATTTGGATTAGGGAGGGGAAAACTGGATAAATTAGCAGAATCATCCATTTTAAAACTTCAGATATTAAGCGAGTGGCACAACACTGGACACACGCAACACCACATGCTTTATAAGGACAGCAGAGTTGCGCAGTGTACCGCGGTGACCCCTGAAGCTGTGGCCCTGTTTCAAACAGAGCCGAGACAAACAGTGCAGTCCAAACAAAGAGAACTGGTTCATGTGTGGAATGTGTTTTAATGTGTTTTGCAGGGCGCGCTTGCACTGAATAAACGCTTCCATATTGTGCACGCTTTCATCTGGACTGATGCATATCAGAACGTTTCCTGCGCTATCCTGAAGGACAGTATGGAAAAAAGACAAACAAACACAGTAGTTTAAATACAGCTCAGCTTAACTTTCTTTCTTTCTTCCTGAAGGGTGTCTGCAGGTACACTCTCGGAAATAAGGGGCACTGGAGTAGTACCCCTCTTGTCACTGGGGTGGGACCCTCAAAGGTACATCTCAGTACCTTTAGTCAGGGAACATAACTGTATCATTTCTAAATTCTATTGACTCCACACACCCCGTCTCGTCTCCAGGCTTTTTATTTTATTGTTCTGTTTTAAAACATTAGCTTATGAAAAGGCACAAATATGTACTTTTCCACTGGAAAAAAACTTATTAAGGTTCACAGTTGGACCTTAAAACCACTGTTGTACGTAAGAAAGAACATTTACATTGTTTGTACCTTTATGAACAAGAAATGTACCTGCACAGAACATTTATTTCCAACAGTGTATAATAATTAAAAGCTCTACTTTGAGACATTTTAAATGCCAATTTAAATGTAGTTTTAGAACACATTAGCAGCCTCAGTGGGAGATGGTGGAGGATTAAAGTATTCTGAAAAACAGGTCCATGTTCTGTAATGCTTGGAATGGAAGTCACGTCGCGTCGCATTGCGCTGTGGGATCATTCTGGCAGAGTTTATTCTTTGTTTACGTGCTGCACATACACTGTGAGAGCTTAAAGAGATTGCTGTTTTATTGTGTTTCTTTCAGGCCTAACCCTCTGTGGTCTGAGGTCATTCTCTCTCTATTTGTGCATATCTTCTTAGACTCTCCTTTAAAGTCTCTTCATATAACATGATACTCACATGTTTCATATCAAAATGCTACATTATCTTCATCACTACTTTCCAAAACCGCTGCAGCAACTTCAGCAGCTGTAAACTCTCTGCACGCCATGTCACATGAGTCTCTGATGTGGACTGAATGAAGAATGATGATGGGGATGAGGGGTCAGTCCTGAGTGTCCATTGGTCAGTTTCACACAGAATGTAGATGGACACACGAATCCACCAGTTCCACATGGGTGAGAGGCAGATGACGTGCATCTCAGCCCCTCTTCATAGCCTCATATCTCCGTATATGACCTTAGGATAAGATGGAATGGAAAGGGCGACTCTGCAGATCCAGGAAATGTTTGAACTGGATTTCTGTGCTGGATTGTACAGCGGGCAAGGAAGGAGACTTTAGATCTCATTTCAGTGTGGGGTCACTCCTGTATAATTAAACAGCAATTATAAACTAGTAAAGTGCATTTCCTGAAGAAAAGTTATTGCACAGCCTAAACTTGTTGTTAGCCAGTCACTAATTTGTTGCCAGGACGTTGCCATGGTGTACAGGGTGTTTACTGAGTGGTTGCTCAAGGGTTGCCAAGTGCTTGCCAGGTGATGCTGCAAATGAATGTGAGAATAAGGGATGAAAAAATGACACAGAGAGAAGTGTGGGTCAGTATGGCTGTGGATTAGAGCTCGGGGGCCTGCCCTGTGTGAGTACATGCAAAACAATGTCTTTGGGTCAAGCAGAAGTGCAATACATGGTCATGCATCTTTGCACCCTCTTCATTCCTATGGGAAAAAAAATTCTTCATTTAAAGAAGGTAGTATAAAAAACGTTCACTCCTGGGCAAAAAAATTGGCCAAGCCCAAAATCTAATCATGTTTACTTATGGTTTTGACTGGTCAAAGTCCAGATTTAAACCCTGTAGAGAATATTTAGTCTCACATTAAACACAAACTATTTCTGCAATGTTTTTCAGCAGTTTGAAGCGTCAATGCTGAGTGGATCAATACTCACTCTTCTTTGTGTGTATTTACACACAAAACGTTTACATTTAAAGAAATCAAAGTGAAAATCAAAGTGACTCACTGCAGTTGTTTGTTTAATGATTTGTTGTTAAGACCATTAAAAGCTTAATGTCTTGCCATTTTGGGCTTGGCCGATTTTTTAATCAGACCAAGCATTCAGGGGTTGATGTTTCAAAAACTGCAGGAAAATCTGGCAGCAAAAGAAGAAGAAGAATATACCACTGGATAGCAACAGTCTTGATAATATTGTTATTATTAAAGCAACGCACAATCCCTAATGATGGTGCATAATCATAGCATATGGGAGGGAATATACACTGAATTACATACATACATACATCATCTAAACCGCTTATCCTTCTGAAATGTGGTATATAAAACTTAAACTTAAGGATTAATGAACTGGGTCAAATTAAACTCCAATTCAGCTGTTAGCTCTGTTAGCCGTGACCTCTGATCACAAAAAAGAAAATAAATGGAGGCAGCGTTTTTTATTGCCTGGTTTTGTTATCGTGTTACTGTGATGTTGATTCGAGTTCAGCCAATTATAGAAGGTAATTAACTGTGGAATTATTACTAAGCAGACTTGTAAAAACTACGAATATTGCAGATTCGTACTGGATTAAAATCCCGGATCCCATCAGTAATGACTCAAATTACAGCAGCTCCCAAGATTAAACTAATCCAGCTCCAACAGGGCTTAAGGTGTGCGTGTAAACGCACCCAGTGAGCTTCTAAACGTGGCACCACTAGAGCGTCAAAATATAGTAATATGTATCATGATACGATTGTTCTGCCGCATCGCCTGCCCCAATCTCAACCCCTCATCTTTAATACTCAGCACATTTCTAAACTGTAAACAGCGAGTTCAGATGAATTAAGACACGGCGTTCCTGCATGTACCTGTCCGCCGTCTCAGTCGGAACAGTCCGCCACTCAGCGAAGCCCCGAGAAGGCAGTAAAGCGCTCGGCACACAAAGCCAGAGGTATTTGTTTTGTTGGGAAAAGAACCAGCTCTGCAAATCCCATTCCCTGAGGTTAGCCCGGTTCAGCGTCTGCTTCGAATTACGCCGCTCTCCTCCCCTCCCTCCAGCTGACAGAGGCATTATGAAACAATGCCTGAACCTCAGCCCAAACCCTGAGCTCTCTGCCGGCTCCCGAACTCCAGCAGGCCCTTACCGACCCGCTCACGTCCAGATAATTACCGCACCGCAAACCTCGCCAAACTTTGCGTCATCAGTGCAGATGAGCTGATGCTCAATTCATTGCATATAAGACCAAAACTGTGCTGGTCACGGTTTCCTCATCAGCTCCAGTCAGGAAACCTTGAAGGAAAGTAAGTCTGAAGCTTTTCTACACTTCAAATCAATTACAGTCCACTTTACAAATAACGAGATAGACTTAAATTACTAATGCAGTTTTGAGGTTTTCGTTTTTTTCTTTACATCATAAAACAATACCATTTTTTTTCTTATATTCTGTGATGGTTGCATATAAAGCTGCAAATAAAGTTTCCCTCTTAGAAGTTTCGTAGCAACAGCAAGGAGACATACATACATACATATTGCAGGGGTTGTTAGCCAAATATAAAGAAGAGCCATTTTGTCCTTTCAGCAAAAATCAAACCACCTTGAGTGCCACAACATTTAATGTCCATTTTACCATCTTGGCTGTAAATATGTCTCAGTGCTGATGTGCTTGTATAGACTAAAAAATATAAACGAAAACATACTTACTTTGCTCTGCTTTAAGTTTTAGCTCAGCTACAGACACTTTTCTTACATCTCCAGCAGGAAACTTTTCCACAAAAGTTGAATAGTTTCTTGTAAAATGTCTTTCACAGTTCGACTTTTTACGAGGCTGAAGTTGCTTCTCATTCGCAGCTTCATTTTACTGTTTCACCTTAAATGGTGCCTGAGATGCCAGAATGTAACTGCTGCACCATTGAAGGTAGAACGGAAAAAATCCAACAAGAAGCAGACTAGCGAGAAACTGACTTCAGCCTCGTGACTTATTAGTGATTGACAGTTTCCCGTTGCAGATTAAACGTATCAGGAAACCAGCTGGAGTGATTATAAATGCAAATAAGCCCATTCATCTCCAAACTATCAATGTTTATATTAAATCTTTCTCTTTGCCGTTTCATTAGCTACTAGCTGGGCGAGATTGTTGCCTGTGATGCTATGGAGAGCAGCAGTCTGCGCACTGATCTTCAAAGGGTGAAAAGGGTTAAAGAGTGAATTAGCAGTTCTACATTAACTCCAGTGTTTAAGACCATTTATTGTTAAAACTGTGTTAAAATGATCAGGAGAGCTTTATTTTACTGCAAAGGAGGATTTTATTTTATTTTTATCTAAAAGTCTAATTTCTGCTGTGGAGCCATAACAGGGCAGTAAAAGAGCTGCATATGGCTCCGGAGCCGCAAGTTGCCGACCCCTGTGTTATTGTAATGAGGGGGGTTCTCACAAGGAACTTCAGACAGCTCAAAGTTCAACCCATCAGTTTCGAGGAGCTGTTAGCTTACTTGTACGCAGGACAAATAAAATGGCCCCTATCTACTACATTTATTTTGTTTGTGCATGAATATAGGAAAATGTACCCACAAATTAAAGCATATGTGCGCATGATTAAAAGAAAACGAGAGAACAAATTGTTAATCATGGGAATGAAGTAAGAAATCAAGGCCGCAAATAAAAGAAAACGTGTACAAATTGCAAAACGTTCCTTCAAAATAATTCTTATTTTACCCCCATCCGCACTGGAGCTCCGTATGCATGTCTTCGCTATCACACAAAAAGTTTTTTTATATTTTTGCCTAAATTAAAAAGTATATTGCCTTGTGTTAAAATTTCATGACAAACGAGTTAACAGAAAAGCTCCAAAATGACTTTGTAAGTGTTGTTACATTAACTTCTATTACAAGTTGAGAACATTTTTTCGATTTTTATCTTCAATGCTCAGCTTCATCTGGGTCGTCTGGGATTCTCTGCTCTCCCAACTGCTACCACAGCCCTATCTGAACTAATCGGTTAATGATGATGATGATGATGCTCAGCTTCATGTTCCTATGAAGAGGTTTTGTCTGAATAATACTAATAATATTCCTAATAATGATAAAAAAAACAATAAGAATAATAATTATATAATTAATAAATACATACAATAATCATATATAATCAATGGTTATAATTAATTATATTTAATATACACACACACACACACACACATCTTCTAAGCCACTTATCCTTCTGGGTCCCGGATGGAGCTGGAGCCTATCCCAGCTGTCATCGGCCGGAAGGCAGGATACACCCTGGAGGTCGCCAGTCCATCACAGTATTTAATATATACTTATTGTATTTTTAATATCTATATATTTATATATAATTATATTGTATATATAAATGATATTTATATATATTTAATTATTTATAATAATAATAAATAGTTTTCTTTTCCAAACTGATGTTAAATGCTTATACTGAAACTCTTTTAGCCCAAAGGCACTTAAAACGCCTGAAAGGTTTGAGTGCTGACATCACAACAAGTGCTTAAAGTGGGCGTGGCCTATGGCTTTATTCCCATCTTAGTACTGTGGCACAAATATTTCACTGTTTTTCTACAAATGGACCTGATTAGGCTTTAATATTGTCAGTTATTCAAAGAACAGCAAATTATTAAAATATTAAAGTACTAAAACATGGTAGATGCGCAGAGAATATACATACAGGAGAGCTATAGTAGAAAACAGCACTGCTAGGAATAGATGAACTATTGTGTTTGAATAGGCCTTGTGGGTTAAAAGGGTGAAGAACTGATTGATCAGACCGTTTAAAAGCTGATGGAGGGTTCAGGGCTGGAGCTCAGTGCAGCTGATTAGAGGTGCTATTTTATTCTCCTGCAGGTCATTTCCAAACAGCAGCATGATCATTAATATTGTGTTTCTGGATGAAAATGCATGAAAGTGCAGATGAGCTGGTGTTGAGGAGATTGTGTTTGTTTAGAGGTGAAAGGATGCAGCATCCCCGTGGCTCAGAATAGACCTCAGATGAAGGAAAATTGAGCTCACAATCAGCCTTGTCCGCGCTTCGCAATTTATCAGTCAATACGTGTAAATGAGGGAATGGGCTATTCAGCACGTGCAGCTCATTAAAGTGGAAACCATGTGTTCTGCCCATGTCAGAAAGCTTCGATTGCTGCAGTTCATTCTTCATGCCACTTCTTAGACTGTGTGACACTGTTCATATGCTAACTCTAATATTCACATATGCAGTTTCTACCAGCAAGGCTTAAAATAGCCCTTTTCAGTACAAACATGCTGCTTTTTCATTCAACTGAAGGGGAATTTCACCAAATATTTAAAAATGTCTCTATAATTTAGTGTTTGAGATGTAAACAAGTTACTTCTGAGTTTTATATAGAATGTTGATGATGGGAAAATAGTGGAAGATCTGAAATAATAAGTTTTCTTTGGGGATTTTACCTCACAGCTCCCTGCATGTATCCCTCTACCATGAATAGAGTTTCTCAAGTTCTCAAAACTATCATAAAACAGTGTCTCTGACATCAGGCAGTGAATTCATAACCATTTCATGTAATAACTTTCTGTAAGGGAGCTTTTAGAGGTGGACGTCTGGTTCCTATCACCACCACTGTGATCTGTGTTTCTGTAGAACAAAGCGTTTCACACCAAACCACTCTGAACGACTCTGTTTACATAGTAACCACTTAATTATGCAGGAATTTAGAAAAATCATTTCTCCTTTAAAACAAATGCAGAAATACATGGAGACACCACACACAGATTACTGACAGTTTCCTGTGATGTTACCTTAATAGGTGAGTACCACTTCTGAGAACTGATGGGTTTGCGCATGCCGTTATTCAGCGTTCGTGTAGGAATGAACTCAAACTCTTGCTCCGGCATCTTCACCCGAGCATTCTTGGCTTTCTCCAGCTTCGCTCCCTCCTCTGTGGACCCCTTATCTCCCCACCGCACCTGGAGAACCCACATCAACATGCAGGTCAGTTTTCTGTAGCCCTCACACACGCCAGACAACGTGCACACATCACCACTACACCACTCTTCAAATGTTTAGAATCACTTGCCAGTTTTGTTATGTTGGATACAATAATAACTTATTAAGATTAACCCTTATTAGTCCCACAACAGGGAGATTTCACTTCCGCATTTAACCCATCTGTGCAGTGAAACACCAAATACTCACAAGTGAACACACACACTAGGGGGCAGTGAGCATACTTGTCCAGAGTGGTGGGAAGCCCTATCTGCAGCGCCCAGGAACAGTTGGGGGTTAGGTGCCTTGCTCAAGAGCACTTAGGGGTTAGGGGATTGAAACCTATTTACCAAAAGGCATTTTAGATGTTTCACTCAGTATTTCAATAATTCTGTGAACAAGACTGTAACAAATTATAAATATTATATTGTAAATGTCTATTTATATTAATTTCGTCAAGTTATCTACCTTAAAATTTGATTTCCAAGTTTTGAATATGATGAACTCTGTAATGTTATTAGAACTTCATTTTTGATGTTCTACAGCTTTCTTAATCATTTTGGAGTCTTTGTTAGCCCTGTTCATCATACCAGACACATTTAATATTTTTTAATTTATTAACAGCCCGGGCAGCACGGTGGCGCAGTGGGTAGCGCTGTTGCCTCATAGCGAGAATGGCCTGGGTCCGATTCCCGGCCGGGCGGCCAGGGTCATTTCTGTGTGGAGTTTGCCTGTTCTCCCCGTGTCTGTGTGGGTTTCCTCCGGGTACTCCAGTTTCCTCCCACAGTCCAAAGACATGCAGTCAGGCTGATTGGACATGCTGAATTGCCCCTAGGTGTGAGTGTGTGTGTGTATGTCTGTCTGTCTGCCCTGCGATGGACTGGCGACCTGTCCAGGGTATATCCTGCCTTCCGCCCAATGACAGCTGGGATAGGCTCCAGCACCCCACCGCAACCCAGAAGGATAAGCGGTTTAGATGATGTATGTATGTATTTACAGCCCTCTACTGATTTAAAGTTTTAGCTTTAAAGTTGTTCAGGAAGAACAGATTACAATTGTTTCATAGATTCATCTACAGTTAAATTGGTTTGATATAATTGAAAATATTAATTTCTAACTTTTAAACAGTAGTGTATGTATAAAGTGAAAAATGTAACATACATGTTCAAAAAAAATCAACATTTGTCTGAGCTTGTCTATCCAAACACCAACATCTGTCTGAGCTCCTCCATCCAAACACCAACATCTGTCTGAGCTTCTCTATCCATACACCGACATCTGTCTGAGCTTCTACATCTTTACATCAACATCTGTCTGAGCTTCTCCATCCTTAGCCCAACATCTGTCTGAGCTTCTCACAGGACCGCCCCCCCCCTTACCTCCATGCGTTTAATGCCACCGACTCCTCTTCCACCATAATACGAGGCGTCCACTGTTGGCCACTTCTTTTTGGGATATCCATCTTCCTCTTCATCCTTCAGAGAGACGATCCTCAGTGTTAAAAGCTCAGTAAATAAGGTTCATCATTCTGAGTAATACTTGTAAAGTGTGCACATTTTCTCTGTTCTCTTCCATCCTCATCTTAACAGCATGCAGTCAAAAGACAAGACGATTGAGACGCTACTGAGGAGAACATGCTGTACCAGTCAAAGGTTCAGACACAGGTACCATAGAACAGTTTTTACTGTGTTTATTGTTATGACAACAGTGAAGACATCAGACTGAGAAATAACGTGTAGAATAAAGATGAGCATGAGTGCTCGTAACCTAAGTGTGTATTCGACTAGTAAATTACTACTCACAAATTGTAAATTGATTGAGTGGCCTCGGAATAGAAACAAATTCCAACTTGGTTGGCAAAGCAGTGTTGCTAGGCTAGTTTTTCAGCTCAGTGTGGCCATGAACTGTGTTCAAAATTGTGCATACACTCCTAAAAATAAAGGTTCCTAAAAGATTCTTGGCTTGGCTTTTATACAGACACATCTCATCTACTACAGTGTAGAAAGAATAATATATTAAAAGGTTGTCTGTCGGAACCAATAGTGGTTCTTTAATGGCATCGCTGCAGAGAACCCTTTTATACATTTTCACTACTGATACAGAAAAACTATTTAGTCTTTAAGTAAAATGTCTCTAACTTGTTAACTGTCACCCGATTTTAGTCAGAAATGGTGTACCCAAAGTAAAGGGGGTGCTGTTCCCACATACTTTGGGCTACAGTCATGATCTTTGTCTCTTTGTCCTTGAAAGGAGAACATTCTCAACCTCAATCTGACACAGAGTAACAGAGACTAGAATGGAGGAGTTTATGTCCCCCTGACTCTAAACTGATCTCTGACTCTTGCTGTGTTACCAGACCACATGTTTTGGCTTATGATGTCTGTGTGGAGAGCGGTGGGCTCTGAAGGTGAGGACACACAGATTTGCTAGTGTTTGCTCATTTGGTGCTTATGATGCAAATGAGACGATTGTAACTGCTGTGAATAACGGATCATAAAATGGTTTGTGGGAATCAAATCCTGAGATTTCAAACTTTCTAACTGTGTACTGCATCACCATATCACTGAACAATTTGATGCATAAAAAAAGAAACAAATACTTCAAGGGGAGTGGTACCACAACAGTGATTTAGAAAAGGCTAAAACTGTGAAAACCATTCAAACAGTTTATAGTGTCCTTCTACTGGAACTCTCAGTTTTCAGCCACATGCTCTACTCCTTGGTCCCTACAGTCATTACCAGTGACAGAAGCTCTGTAGAAGGTCATTTTGGTTCAAAACAGGCCTCAAATGAAGAGAAATTGAACCTCATAATGATCCTCATCCATCCACACTTTGTGATTTAATAGTCAGTAAGTGAAAAAAGGTGATGGAAACTCATCTTGTGCTGCTGAGCTCAGCACGTGCGGATGGATAGAGTGGTAAAAGTGTAAAAGGGTGCTGAAAATTGCCCTCAAGAAAAGATTAGAGCTAAAAGCCTGAGTAAATTGATCTCTGAGGCTAATGCTCTGGTCTCCTCTCTGATTTTTTTTCCTTCTTCTTTTCTTTCTTTTTCTCCTCCATTCCTTGCTCCGAGCCTGTAGCCTCAGGAGTTTCCTGTTTGTGAAAACCTGGTGACCTGTCCACTGTTTAAAAGAGTCTGCGGATTTTTAAATCAAAATTCCAAACTCCAGCAACGACCCTAAATCGCCTCATACGCAACAGTTGTTTCCTCAAACCTTTTATTTCATCATCGTTATCTCTGCCAAAAAATGACAGAGAGGAGAAAAATGCTACATCTGGATCTCTTCTTGGCAGATATTAAACGAATATGACCTTCTATTGGTCGTAATGCTGGGTGTGATTTAAAAGAATAAATAAATAAAATAAGAAAACATCTTCTCGCTGTTTTTCGTTCCCCTCTCTCAGCACTACTGCCACAGCGACAGTGACCTCACCTGAGAAAACTGCAGACTGGGTGAGCTGGGGCTAATCGTAAGGTAATGAATCCGACATGAGACCAAGATAATGAAAAAAAATGAAACCCCATCAGCAGAAACACCATTTTAGGAGAAGAGAAGATAAAAAAAACATTTCAGACTGTCTTAAAGTGCAAAATTGCAAAAATTTCAGGAATTTGAGTCTTGGAGTTCTAAAGTTTCAGGAATTTTAGTTTTGGAGTTCTAAACTTTTAGGATTTTCCGTTTTGGAGTTCCAAAGTTTCAGCATTCCGAGTTTTGGAGTGACAAAGTTTCTGAATTTTGAGTTTTAAAATTTCAGGGTTTTAAGGTTTGGAGGCTTGGCGTTCCAAGCTTCAGGAGTTTGAGGTTTGGGGTCCCAGAGCTTTAGGATTTTGAGGTTTGGAGTGCCAAAGTTTCTGAATTTTCGAGTCTTGGAGTTTCAAAATTTCAGGGTTTTAAGATTCAGAGGCTTGGAATTCCAGAGCTTCAGGATTTTGAGGTTTGGAGTGCCAACGTTTCTGAATTTTTGAGGTTTGGAGTGCTAACGTTTCTGAATTTTTAAGTCTTGGGGTTTCAGAATTTCAGGTTTTGAGGTTTGGAGTTCCAGAGTTTCAGGATTTCGAGCTATGGAATTCCAAAGTTTTGAGATTTGGTGTTTCAGGGTTTTGCGTTTTAGAGTTTCAGGGCTGTGACTTTCACTCACATAGTTTCAGAATTTTGAGCTCTGGAGTTTGAAGGTTGTGACTTTTACTTTGAGTTTTGGGATTTCAGGGCTTTGAGCTGGCTGCAGGCTGAGCCGTGATGTTTGTGTGAACTTAGCAGGATCTTACCGAGCTCTCCTCTGGCACAGGCGGTGGTGGCTCATGGATGACCTGTTGGGAGAAGAACCGTTTTTTGAAAGTCTGCTTTCATGTGCTTCTGCTAAGAGAGAATACAAAAGATAGTCTGACAAAATAACCACATCATCTAAACTAGTTAAAAAAACATCTGTGCTGCTTTCATAGTTTGAAAAAGTATGATGAAATTTCAAAGAAGATATTTCTCATAGTATTTCTTTTTTCAGTGGGGAACGAAGTGTCTTTCAGTGTAGCATCTAAAACAGGCCTGCTGAAACTCCAACATACGAACATCACATCAGTTCAATCTGTACTGAGTACAACTTTAAGTATTTCAGCTGCTTAACAAACCAATATCTAAAATGTACAGACATGGTGGACATCGCCCAGAGTTAGATATCCAAGCTGAAAGTTCTTAAGGGGTGTTTTTCGTTTTCTAACAAATCACAGAAACAAATGATGTGTTCAAAAAATTAATTCAGCTACTTTAAGGTCACAGATTATTGATGTAGCTTGTATAATGTCCATGGAAAAGCACTGACCAATAGAATGGGACATACTGTAGCAGCTCAACATGAGCCTAAGGTCACCATGTCCATTGTCAAGTGTGGGCTAGAGGGGTATAAAGCATTAGGCTGTGCAGCAGTAGAACTGCGTTCTCTGGAGTGATGGAGCTCCATCCAATACCTTTGGGTGGAGTTGGAGTGATCCAGAACTGACCATCCAACAACAGTACCTGACCTCACTAATGCTCAAACAAATCTTCACAGCAATGTTCCAACATCTAGAAGCCTCACCAGAGAAGTAGAGGCTGTTATTGCACCACAAACTCACTATTAACATCCTTCATTTCAGAAGAAATACTGAGGGTCTGCAGACTCCTGGACATACAGTGTATATCATACATTAACATTTAGGTTCTGACCACAGTAATTCAGAGAGTTGATATGACTGACCACTGTACAGCAGAGAGGCCAGAACCACCAGAGCAGAGCCATAGCCAGCAGCAGCAGCAGGATGAGCAGAGCAATGGCCAGAACCGTCCCGTCCACCTGGAGAATGGAGAACACACACAGATACACTCTGCAAAAAAACACACACTCGAGAACATTTCTACTGACCGTTCTGGAGAGAAAAACCATCAGACTGATATTTCAGCAAAAAAATCAAAGTGACAGTTTCTCCTTAAACCCAAATGTAGTCAACAGACTAAAGTAAGGACGAAATCAGGCTTCGAGACAGCCGCTGCTGTTTTTAGTTATGTGACTTACTTTTTGTAATGATAACAGTGGGGGCTTTACAGTTAAGCTAAATCATATCATGTCTAAAAAGGCTTTGCAATGGACATCTAACCCTGTTATGGGAACAAGAAGCCCTCCTACCAGGTGTAAGAAGCCTAAGACTGCCTACCTTGGGTAAGAAGCACATCCACCTGAGGTAAGAAGCCCTTTTACCTAGGATAAGAAAGCTCTTTCACCTGGTGTGAGCAGTCCTTTTACCTGGGATAAGAAAGCTCTTTCGTCTGGTGTAAGAAGCCTTTTTACCTGGGATAAGAAACGCTTTCACCTGTGTTAGAAGCCCTTTTACCTGGAGCAAGACACCATTTTACCTAGTGTTAGAAGCCCTTTTACCTGGGGTAAGAAAGCTCTTTCACCTGGTGTAAGAAGCCGTTTTAGCCAGGATAAGAAACTCTTTTACCTAGTGTTAGAAGCCCTTTTACCTGGGGATAAGAAGCCCTTTTACCTAGGGCAAGAAACCATTTTACCTAGTGCTAGAAGCCCTTTTACCTTGGAAAAGAAGCTCTTTTATCTGGCGTTAGAAGCCCTTTTATCTGAGGTAAAAAGCCCTTTTACCTGGTGTTCGAAGTTCTTTTTACCTGGGGTAAGAAGCTCTTTTACCTGAGGTAAGAAACTCTTTTACCTGGTTTTAGAAGTCCTTTTACCTGGAGTATGAAGCCCTTTTACCTTATGTTATAGAAGCCCTTTTCCCTTTGTGTTAGAAGCCCTTTTAACTTGGGCAAGAAGCTCTTTTACCTGGCGTTGGAAGCCCTTTTACCTGGTTTTAGAAGTTCTTTTTATCTGGTGTAACAAGCTCTTTTACCTGAGGTAAGAAGCCCTTTTACCTGGTTTTAGAAGTCTTAAGTGCTAAAACTAAAGAAGCAAACTTCACCAAACATGTTTTGGCTGATCGACTACATTTGGGGGTAAGGGAGGAAAATTGATGTAAATTTGATTGTTTTTTTTATTTTTAAAAAAAAACAATCATAAACTATTTATGATTACAAACTATTGCTTTAATTCATCATATTTTGGTGGTTTCTTCAAAAAGAAATCATTGCAAAACTACATCTGCGCTGAGAAGGCTGGAGTGGATCACGTGAAGAGCTATAAAGCTGCTCAAATGACTTATACACTTATACATCCATACTGTTTTCTTTGATGTTTTCTCTTTAATCTTCACCATCTGCAACTCACCAGCATGCACTCAGAGAAAAGCACACATAAACACCCCCACCCCCACCCCCCTGCACAGTTCAGTGTTTTCCCTGCTGAGGGGTCTAAAAAGCAACCCATGGGACGAATAATTGCACATTAGTTTGAGTGTCCCTGTAAGAGCTTTTGTCCAGCTTCTGGACCACACATGCTGAACTTCCTTCTTTTCTTCAATCAGTTCTCATGTTCATCACTCTGCATAAGTCCATTGGTTACAGTCTGCACATTGTTCCACACATGACCTAGGAATTGCACAGCCTAGTAGACTTTACTGCTCGGCGATAACTCTTTAATCTTGATGTCGACAGTAATTATGATCAGTCTGATCACAAGATTATGAACAACATGGACGCCTCAGTGAAGATAGCAGGTGAGGAGGCTGGTTGTTTCAGGCTCCGTGTCTCCGGATTCCATTGGAAAGGGCGTATCATGCTATACTGACCTTTGGAGTTTGGCTATGTTCTATCATCTCTCCACCGATCTACAGAGCTTCAAAGATCAGATATTGGTTTCTTGACGACTACAATAAAAAGCCCTTTGTGGTTGGAGAGGGAGCATAACGCAATGTAATCATGTACAGTTTGAAGTAAGTTACTCTGATTTTCACCAAGTTACAGTGCTCTAGAATTCTCTGTCTCTATGGACCCCCGCTGCGGATGAGCGTCTTGGCAAGGCTGCCTAGGGTGCACCTAAGTTGAATACAATTTTGTGAGATTCCAGGGCCTGTATCTCTGGTTCCGTGAAGGCCAGCAATGTGATCCAGGGCTCGTTGGAAAGAGTTCATCACTCTCTACTGACCAGTAGATTTGGCTTCAACACAGATATTTAAAGTGGCTTGTTGCAAAGTGTTCTCTTGTCTTGTGGTTTTATTCATGACGTCATGAGCGATTAGTCGACTGACTTTCATCACATAACTGTTGACTTTAAAAAATCTGAAGTCGTGCAACCCCTAACATGAGCCAGCACACGAGGAGCTTGTTAGCTAGTGAGCTAAATTATCTGTGCTAAGGATTAGCTAGAGATGCACTGATGTAGAATTTCTGAGCCCGATACTATAACTGATAAGTTGCACCTCATTTGCCAATAGAGATATCATAAACCGCTAATTGTACTTCTAGTTAATTTAATTATTCAAGACTTTATGTACATATTTTACAATATGTGACGCTCTTCTAAAAGCCATCCACAAATATTCACATATTAATCATGCCTTCCCTTCATCACTGTCCAGAGGAGTCTTGGTTCCTCCAGTGGTTCTTCTCATGCTCTTAGGGAGTTTCTCCTTTCTAATCTTGATTCCTCCCAGTGGTTCTTCTCATGCTCTTAAGAAATTTTAAGTCTTGGTTCCTCTCAGTGGTTTTTCTTATGCTCTTGCTTCATCTTTGTGCTCTTTTAGATGTTGCTCTGACTTCTTGAACTACACTTATTAGGAGGCTTCATCATTTCTGGATGAGCCACTTTTGGATAATTTGTACCTTTTACTGAACTGCACAGTTAAAGCTTTCAGGTAACCACAGAACACCCAGTACAGAACCCAGTATGCGAGTTTGTGAACTCACATTCCTGATATTTCTAAATGTAGATTTATTGGTAGAATAAAAAAAAACATTTTGTTTGATGCCCATCTTTAACAGCTGCCTTAAAGAAGTCAAATAGAAGTTTTTAATACAGTTTCAACCTACGTTTTCTACTTAGGTAAAATTAGGGGGATGTACTTGTCTTTCTGGGAACCATGTTGTTATAAAAAGCACCATACAAACATAAAACTGAAGTGAACTGAATATTACAGCAGGGAAAACACTAAAGAGTGCAGGGGTTCTCCAGGGGTGGAGTCTAAGTCCCATGGAGTTTTAGAAAGCTCAGAGACGACGGCGTATACTGACTGTTAGCAGCGGGCAGACTGACGTTGGAGCTGAACTAGTGGCCAGTAGGGCGGCAGTGCTGCGCTCTGTACTGCTACTGGTACTGGTAGTAGTACTTGTAGTGGTACTTGTAGTGGTACTTGTAGTGGTGCTTGTAGTGGTAGTGCCCAGAGACGATACTGTACTCACACAGCGGAGTGTGGTGATGGTGATAGAGCTGGAGATAAAGCTCAAACCGTTGTTCATACTGACATGGAGAGAGGCAGATCTGGGAATGGGGAGAAAGAAAGGAAAAGAGAGAGGTAAGAAACTCATTTACAGGGGTGGTCTTTAAAGTAGGTAGCTGCCTAAGGCCCCCATGAGCCAAGGGCCCGTGAAAATACAAATTAGGATTACTGTACATGTTGAAGTTAAATGATCTATCCTGAAATGTATTTTAAACTTCATTTGCAAAAGCAGATATCTCCATTTTAATGAATTTTCATAAATCATGTTTTTTTATTGTGCATTCCAGGTAATAACAATCAAACTACAGTTAGGTCATTTTAAGTAAGGCGAAAGCAGATAACTCAGGTCCTTTCATGTCTCAGACTTAAACAAAGCCATTTAATGGACACAAGTTTCATTTAAGGTCAATATTTAACATTCTTTATCATAAACCAAGCAGGCAAAGAGCTGAAAACTGCAACACAAACAGCCCATTAATGGTCAATATTGAACATCTATAAGATCAGAGCTCGGAAAATCCTAAGGCTGAATATATGTGAGTTATGAAATTTTGGCTTTTTCACCCAAATATTGCGCTTTATGTCCAGTATGAATTGTGCTCACATGGCTGAATCCAAAATGGCTCACTGTAAGACACACTGTGCTCTGTTTAGATGCAGTAGCCGTTATTTTAAGACCTGGATGCTGCTCTTTGTAGGGAGAAGGAAGCCTTTTGAGATTCTGCCTGAAACAGTCATTTTAGCTTTATTAAACTGCTTCCTTGGGTCAAGACTTATCAGAGAAGTAATATCATAAGGCATGAGAAGGAAAGTCCACACTTCTCACTATATTTGATTAATTTATTAATGATTTTGTTTATCAGGCAGCACATAGCATCTATGTGTCACTTGTGTTATGTGCTTTAATAGCTGGCTAATTAAATTTTTTTCAAAATAAGGATCTATATAATTTTTATTACTGATTTTAAATGGTTATACAAGATCCCCTGACTGCCAATGAGTCACCCAATTTACAAAATCCTCAGTTTTACCCAGAATGTCACGGGAGTCACAGTCACTGGTGTTACACCATACTCACATAACAACAGTGACGTCATGAAGTTTGAACGGACACATCCTACACCAGCGGAGCAGATTACAGCAAACACAGGTGGGAGTTGACGAGAACCACCAGCACAGCCCAAAGTAGGCGGGCACAGGGGGCATGATGTGGTTGAATTGGGCAAACAAAAATGGTGCTAGATTTTGTGGGCAGGCGCGAGCAAGTATCATGGTACATTTTGCAGGCGCTGGCTGGCGTGATTAGTGGTTGAATCAGGCAAATGCGGGCATGAATAAAGACAGTTCTTCGAGGGTTCTTAAGTAAAAAAAATACAACCCCAATTGCAAAAATGTTGGGACGCTGTGAAAAATGTAAATAAATGTAAATAAAACAGAATGCAATCATTTACAAATCTGATAGACCCATCGTGAAATGGCTCTTCAGCCTGATGGAGAATGTGTTGAATATGGTTCTTTATAGAACCTTTTTGAAAATGGTTCTAAATAGCATCAAAAACTATTCTTCTATTGCATACAAGCTTGACATCGTAACAATAGCAGAACTCCTTTTGATGCTATGTAGAACCATATACAACACATTCTCCAGCAATCAGAAGAACCATTTAAGTATGCAGATGGTTCCTTGAGTGTTATTAGTTCTACACAGAACCACTGTCTTTACTAAAGAACCCCTGAAGAACCAACTTTTTTAAGAGCGTAAATGTAAAAAATTGTTAAATAGCTCTCAGTAATTGGTTTTATGTCATTGCTATTTTAATAGTCTTATATAAGCCCAGTTTGCTCCATCAGAAGAACTTGAAGACGGTAGTTAACAGTTCATCAGCACATTTATTTTGTTCCCCTTACCAACTGGAAAAGTGGAAAATGCAGTTTCTGCTCAGAAAAAATTTAACTGAAAATATTTCCTTTCTAATCCCTGTAGACGCTGCTCAGAAACAACTTATCTAACTTCTATCATCCTCAAGTAGAAGATTGACTGGAAGATTGATTGGATTCCAGTGTCTGTGAAAACAGGAACACGTTGCAAAACAAAGAGAAGGCAGACTGTAAATCAAGAGGATTTCTTCAATGGTTTCACGCACACACACACACACACACACACACACACACACACACACAGAGAGAGAGAGAGAGAGAGAGGGAGAGAGAATGAAGGAATGGTGTTTAATCATGGAAATCTGGAGTGTTGGTTGGAGAGGGTGTGCTTTGGACAGGGAAATGCAAGAGTCCCATAATTCTGAGTGCTGTCCCTCTCTGGCTCTTCCAAGATACTTTCCACTGGAGCGTAATTTGTGTGGGTTATGGTGAGCTACACTTAGCTATAGTAAACTGCAGTGAGTTATAGTGCAGTACAGTGAGCTACAGGAAGGTAGAGTGAGGTACAGTGAGACACAATGAGGTATTGTGGACTACAATGTGCTATAAAGAGTTAAGGTAAACTACCAACTAACCAAACTATAAGGAATTAGCAATGATGATTGCCCTTTAAGCCAGCGGTCAGCAAAATGCAGCTCTTTTACTGCCCTGTTGCAGCTCTACAGCACAGTTCGATTTTTAGGTAAAAATAAAATAATCCTCCTTTGCAGTAAAATAAAGCTCTGCTGATTGTTCTAACATAGTTTAACAATAAATGGTCTTAAACGCTGGAGTTAAGGTAGAACTGCTAATTCAGCCTTTAACTCTGAAGATCAGTGCACAGACTGCAGTCAGTCAGTTTCTCATTCACCAGCTTCAGTTTGAATTTTCCCGTTCCACCTTTAAAGGTGCCCCGAACGTTGAGAGACATTTTACTAAAAACTATTTTACTTTTGGAAAAGTTTCTTGCTGGAGATGTGAGAAAGGCGGCTATAGCTGAGCTAAAGCAAAAAGCAGAGCAAAGTAAGTCTGTGTTTTTGTTTATATTTTTTATCCTATACTAGTACATTAGCATATAGCTATAGTCAACTACAGAGAACTTCAATGTAGTACAGTGAGCTACAAGAAGGTAGCTCTGAGGTACTGTGAACTACAGTGCAGTATAAAGAGTTATGGTGAACTGCTTTAAACTATAGTGAGTGAGAGAAAGAGAGAGAGAGAGAGAAAGAGAGAGAGAGAGAGAGAGGTTTGTTAAGAAGTCTATTAGTTCTGTCTGCTGTGTTCTGTAATGCTAGCTCTTCCCATTCTACTTCTTTTACTTTACATTAAGGTAAGCTTAAGAATATTGGAACCAAAAATACCGAACTTCAGTTTGCTTCTGTGTGACTCCCTGCAGTAAAGCAACCGAGCTAAAACGTCTAGGTTTTGCCCTAGAGCAGTTAGCTCTAACCTTGAGAGAAAGTAATAAATAACATTAAATAATATGTACACATACATCATGTACACAGTGATAAAGTCAATAATCACTTTTAACTAGCAAAGATCATGCTAATTATTTTTAAATAGGCCTAGTAGTGACTACAGTGAGTTGTAGTAAGTTGCAGTGACCTATAGTGAATTATAGTAAACTGCAGCAAAGTAAAATGAGTTATGCTCAGATACTTTGAGTTATATACAGCTACAGCGAGCTATAGTGACTACCGTGACTTCCAGTAAGTTACAGTGAGCTGCAGTGATTTATAGTGAACTACAGCAAGCTACAGCAAGGTATACTCAGCCACAATGAGATAAAGTGAACTACACTGGGTCATAGTGGGGTACAGTAACCCATAGTAAGTATACAGTGAGCTATAGTGAACTAACTAGTGAGTTATAGTAAGCTACACTGAGTTATCAGTGAAAGTCAGCTAGACCCACTTATAGTGAGCAACAATGAGCTATAGTGAGCTTTCGTGAAAAGTGAGACATACTGAGCTTCAAGGAGTTATAGTGAATTAGTGATTCAGAGCAACCTATAAGCTGTAGCTACAGTGAGCCTTTTTGAGCCATAGTGAGCTACAGTGAATTATATTAAGCTACAGTGATTTAAACTGAGCTAAAATGAGGTACAGTGAGCTACAGTGATCTACACTGAGCTCTATTTGAGATATGCTAAGCTACAGTGAGCTATATTGAGCTCTAAATGAGAAATGCTAAGATATAGTGAGCTATACTGAGCTCTATTTAAGATATGCTAAGCTACAGTGGGCTATATTGAGCTCTAATTGAGAAATGCTAAGCTACAGTGAGCTATACTGAGCTCTATTTAAGATATGCTAAGCTACCATGAGCTATATTGAGCTCTAATAGAGACATGCTAAGCTACAGTGATCTATACCGAGCTATAATAAGGTACAGTGAGCTACAGTGATCTATACTGAGCTCTATTTGAGATATGATAAGCTACAGTGAGCTATATTGAGCTCTAATTGAGAAATACTAAGCTACAATGAGCTATACTGAGCTCTAATTGAGATGTGCTAAGCTACAGTGAGCTATACTGAGCTACACTGAGCTATATTCAGCTATAATGAGCTACAGTGAGATTCAGGGAGCTATATTAAGGAACACATACCAATTGTGAGTTATACTGAGCTATATGGAGATGCAGGGGCTTCTGGGGCTTTAGCCCTGAATATTTTTTAACTAACCCCGAACCTTATACATGAACACTCCACAAGTTTCAGCCCGACTAGATTATGCATCATTTTTATCATCCATGCTTTCATTCAGGGGTGCATTCACTTACTCCTCTAACTCAGAGAGAGGGAGAATAAGAGAGAGAGAGAGAAAAATGTGTGAGTGCCTGAAATCTCTGTAAAAAAAAACATAAATCTGCTCCACTGCAAAACAATAATCATTTTAATTTATGAGTGTAAGAGAACTGGCTATTTTAAAATGTGATGTTCGCTGAAAATGTGAAAGTAAGTTAACAGAAGTGTTACTTTCAGTAAACTCATTATTTGAAGTACAACAACATTTTTAATGATTTTGCTTATAAGACCCAATAAAATTGCTGTATCATTGCATGTTTTGTTGTTTTAAAATAAAAAAAGTAGCAACTGCACATTTTACAGGTTAATTAAACAAATTGTTGAGGACGATATCCAAAAACAATTCTACGCAGAACTGGGCTGAGCCCCGGACATTTACAGGCCCAGCCAGCGCCCCTAAGCAACAGTGAGCCAGAGTAAGCTTTAGTGAGCTACACTGAGCTATGGTGAGTTATACCAAGACACACTCAGCAATAGCCAGCTGTTAAACACTTACGTCCCCTCCTCCTTCAGCACAGGAGCTGGGCAGAGCAGGTATGTGTCCTCCACAAGCAGAGGCCTCTTCACTACAAAGACACAAACACACACAGAAATTTGTCTATTAATATTGAGTAAGTGTCCACTTCAAAGCCTGCAATTCAGACCTGCTTCCTTTGTATCTGTATGGAGTCAAGAGACCTGATTCAGCGTAAAGTCAACTTGACAGACTCAATGGGAATAAAAGCTGCCAGCTTGATTTTAATTTTTCTTATTTAAGTATTTAAGAGTAGGTTTGCAGCTCAGGGTTTAGAGTGAAAAACAGATGATCAGATAATTATGAATCCTCTCACATTCCACAAGAAACAGAAGAAGAATCCTAGCTTCAAAAAAAGCCTGTTGACTCTGGCTTAGAGCCACACATTCCCTTCTGCAAGCCGATATTCTCTAATTGCTTTAGCAGCTGGGTGTGTTGGGTTGGGGTGGGGGGAAAGGGGCAAATTCAAAAATCATTAGGGACAGTATGAACACTGCAGTAGGCCAAACTTTTTTCCACTCACTTCCAAGACAAACCAAGCATTCCCCACTTTACCCAGAGAAAAAACACCATCCAGCCACTTCATTCGCTAATATATAACTATCCTGACCCAACAGCCTGACTGGAATTTGTACCATTATACGAGAAGTATAATTTAGTGGTTTAAGCCAAACGACCTGAAATAGTTCGCCCATGTGTGAGAGAAGAGTTGGAGAAGTGGTGGGTTTCTAAACAGCAGAATCAATATGGGTGTTTTCTTACTTACTATCCTTCTAATGAGTGAATTGCACTCATTGCTGACACAGCTTGTAAAATCACAGAAAAGCACTGACCAGTAAAAAGGGACACTCTGGAGCAGCTGCACATGAGCCTAAGGTCACATCTACCTTGTACTTCCACTAACTGTCCACTTTATTCAAAACATCTACACTGTTCTTCCACTAACTGGCCACTTTATTAGAAACACCTACCTTGTGCTTCTACTCACTGGCCACTTTATTAGAAACACCCACCTTGTGCTTCCGCTCACTGGCCACTTTATTAGAGACACCTTTCCTTGTGCCTCTGCTAACTGGCTACTTTGTTAGAAACACCTACCTTGTGCTTCCACTAACTCACCACTTTATTAGAAGCACCCACCTTGAGCTTTGACTAATTGGTCACTTTATTAGGAACACCTACCTTGTGCTTCCACTCACTGGTCACTTTATTAGAAACGCCTACCTTATAAGTGACCAGTGAGTGGAAGCGCAGGGTTGGTGTTTCTAATACACAGGTTACTCAGTGTAAGTGTGGCTATGTGTGTGTATGTTTGTTTGTTTATTTATTTGCACACTCCAGATAAAGCTAATCTTGACAAAACACAATTGCAGACACTCAGCCTCCCATATGGACTCAGAACACTGGTCACTCCAAAAACCCCTCAGCCATTGTGTTCTCAATGAGCTAATATGCACTCGTTCTTTGTGCTCTGTTTAGTCTCCAGGCAGAACTGAAACAATGCGATATCATTCTGCTCGAAAACAGCAGGTCACTTTGGAAATGTTGTGTCTTGATTACAGCAGTGACGCCGCCTGGCCGATTCTGACGCATAACACCATCTCCACTGGATGTTTTTCACCACTGGCCCAAAGTTTACTGGAACTATTCTTCTTCTCTGTTTTTTTAAAAAAGCAATGCCGCTGACCTCGTTATCCTTCAGCGTTCTGAGTTAACGGACTTTGTGTAGGTTATACATAGATCAACCATGGAAAATGGATCTTTATTTGTGATTTACGGCTCTATTACTATTTTTCTTTTAGTTTCCAAACTAAAATGGCATTGTGATTTTGAGGACACTGCAGTGTCTCACAGTGCACTTGTAATTTCTAGTGAACAGACACCAGAGATGGCTGCTGAGTCACTGCAAACCACTTTGTTTCCAGTGGGTTTGTTTTTATTGTGGCACCCTTTTGATAATCACCTGCCCCTAAATGTCATTAAAAATAAGCGTGACCATATGTCCACTTTTTCTAAGACATGCCCTCTTTTTGGGACCTAAAAATGAGTCCAGTTAGGATTTCTAAATTTCCTAAAATGTCCAGGCTATTTTTTTAATAACTGAACCAAAAGAAATAGCCCAAAAAATTCTGGTTACATTGATTACGTTAAAATTAAATTTTTAAATAAAGTTTTTTTTCTTTTCCTGTAAGGTTATCATTTTGGTGAGATGACATTTTGTTCCGACAGCAGTGATATACAATTTATTTTGAATAGTTCATCAAGTATTCATGTGCCTGTATTTTGCTGTTAACATTCTGCCACGTTTTGAATAAACAAAGATCAGTTCAGATAATAGCATAATGTTAATTAAAAATGAAATAAAATCAGAGGTGTTCTCTGGCCCACATATCTGTTGAGATTTTTTAATATGTGCAGCTGATCTGTTTATCATTACTCAGTTCAGCTGCAGTGACCCCCGAGTGAGGAAGAGTAGCAGATGATGAAGAGAAGCGATGTGCTTACTGACGGTGATGGTGTCGTTGATGCGGAAGCTGCAGAGCACTCGGCTCGCATCCCGCGCGGAGAGAAAACCATTTCCCCTGACCACCACCTCAAAGGATTCTGGGAATAGAGGGAAACAGCACAGAGAAAAAACAGTGTTATTCCTGACTCTGTTTACATCTTGTCCATTTATTAAGCAGAAAATTTTGGAAAATTGGTGGAATTCCCCTTTGAGGACCCACAGGCACCCTGCTTGCGCTCAGACTGTGTGAAAATCTGCTCACCTCCAGCACATATAGTCGACGGCTCGACGGCTAGGATCTCTATGCACGACCTCTTCAGGATCTGAAAGAAAGAGAATTCTTAAATTCTTAATTATGTAGAATTTTTGAAAAATTGCTGGAGTTTCCCTTTAAGCAGAGGCAACAGAAGCATCTAATTCTGCCTTTTAATCTACGCTTCTCTTTAAATAATGTGCTTTGTCCATGCTGCTTTCAAAAAATGTCATCTTAACAAAGCCAGAAACTTGTATATTCTACAAACTACCATTTTAACCAATCAGATGAATCAGAATTTACTTCAGTGTCCTTTTGTTGTTACTCTGATGAAACAAACCAACAATAAGCGTTTCCATAGCGATGTGAATTTAGGGTTCCCACCCGTACAGTTTTCACCCAGATAGTCCAGTTTTGACCGCTGGGGTTTTGCAATGTTTTCCCAAATTGTGCAGGGAAAAAGAAAACAAGCCATTAATTCACGCTGGTCAGTTTGTTTGTCACTCCTCACTTCCCACCTCCCTCTGTCAATTTAGGCCAACAGGGTCATTTAAGGATAACTGACCTTTTGAAACGCAATGACCAGCAGAAATCACGGTGTCTGTCCAAAATAAAGAAGATGTGCAAAAATGGCCAAGGAATAAATCCTCAAAAGGACGCACTGCTGTCCTTTCCAAGAAGAATGCCTTCTCTAGGCGTGGATCACCAATGAGCCAAACACTTCAACATCTGTGAAATACAGACTGTCATTCCTCTTCACCATTACACACAACTGTTTCTTCCGTGAGAACTCTAGATCGACATAAATGGTGCTGGTCTTCTCAACAAACCACTCAATGTCTGTCCAAATTCTTACTAAAGACACTCAGCACTAGAGCTGCAACAATTAATCGATTAATTGCCCACTATTAAATTAATTACCAACTATTTTGGTAATTGATGAATCAGTTTAAGTAATTTTTTTTGACATCTGAGGATGGAAGTCGAAATTCGTAATTTAACAAAGATTGTATGAAAACCGTGTGTTGGATCAAAAAGCTGTATACAGACACACCATCCCCGATCAAGACTGGACATTCTGAGTCAGAACAGCGTCAAAATCACATAAACTGCAGGACGAGTTGGTAGACCAAAAAAGTGTGTACCAAGAAGAGAATACTATACTGTCAGATAACAGTAGTGTTACGCATTGCTTTGTAATGCACAATCACTAATATATGTGAGTCGCCCTGTAAAGCCTGAAATAATTACTTAAAAGTCAGAGGTGTCGAGTTTTTCACACCACGTCATACGTCTTTACGTATTAAAGTCTCACACAGACTCAAAAAGAAGGTCCAGCTCAATGTTTTAGTCTCAAATGATCACAAAATCAACAATATACTGATGAAGATGTGATGACAATGTTTCTTCTGCACATTGCATGCAATTACACACTTCCACCAGAGAGGTCTCCAAATCCCCATATCCTACATAGTGCTGCTTTAAGCAGCATATCAGCTACTTATCTCAGGCGTGACGTTTGATTTTTTTAATTCACTGAAACTTTGCATTCACTCAGGTTTGTTAACGGTGGAGCAGAGGGGTACTGACATCTCAGAGAACCCTTATGTCTCTGTTACCTTCTGGCTCTCCCTTTTAGTGAGGCTGTAATAGCTCGACCTGCTGGAGTCTCTGCTGCATTCTGTTAACACTGTACACTGTAATCACTCTTTACAGTACTAACTTCCTGTGTGTTTCTTTGCCGAGCTGAACAACTGCCCATCCTGTGAGATCTGATGCTGTTGCATCATCTGCTTTGATCGGGTGCCCACTGCTCAGCTGCCTTCTGGACTGGTTTGACCACCATGGAGCTTCCTGCTGTACAACGCTGTGCAAACCTCACCTGCATGAACTGACCCTTCTAATGATACTGCTGCTGCTGCACAGACTCAGACTATTTAATTATAACCATTGCTTCACCTGTTTTTTCCCATTTCTGTATTTTAATATTTTATACTAATGTTAGAACCTTATGCTCTGTTCATCTTGCTCCCGTGCTACTGTTTGCTATCCGGTGTTGATCAGAGAAGGATGGATTACTCTTTTGAGTCTTGTTTCCTCTCAAAGTTTCTTCCTCTTGCTTTTTTTGTCGCCACTGGAGACGTTCATGGGGGCTTGGACCCAGATTTTTCTGTAAAGCTGCTTTGTGACAAGTTGTAAAAAATGCCATATAAATAAACTTTGACTTGACTTTGACTTCTACAAGTCTGTTTTGAAGAACAAACCAGTGCAGAAAGCAGCAAGGTCAAAGACAAAGCGCAGCTGGAAAGAACATTAGGGGTGAGTCTAGTGGTATTCTGACTTTTAATGCGTGTCTTGGGGCAGAGGGGGTCCGGTTGTAGCTTGTTGAAAAGGTGGCGACCCTTTGTGATCTCAGAAACTACTGCTCAGAAACTGTCGCAGTGCATGCAGCAGTAAAGGCAGCAGCTTCTTTTATACAGTGATAGGAAACACAGTAGCTCCATTTCCACACGCTGATCCATTTTACTGACCAACGTGGACACGAACGCTCTCCAACTTCTCCGGAGGACAGATTTCAATCAGGTGAAGGAGACACACAAACACCATGAATGGACCACCTACTGTACTTTAGGGAAGACAGGGTTAATGAGTCTGGTTACTGCTGCTGGGTTGTTATTCTACCCAAGCGCAGGGTTGAGCCTGTTGGGCTGTTTCCACAGTGCTGGGCAGTTTCTGGGGAGTTCACCTGCTGGGTTAGGGACTGTGTCACAATAATAACCCAGACAAAGGGTTCTTTCACAAACCAGAACAGCGCCGGTTAGAACAGAGTCGGCTAATCGGCTCTTTATCAGGCAGCGAACTTACCAATAACTGCAACTAATAAAGATAAGTGTTCAATTACAAGAAAACTCTACACTCTATTTGGAGTCATGAGTTCTGTACAGAACAATTTCATGCTTACATGGTTCTTTGCATGGTGAAATGGTTCTTTAGATAGATTGCAAATGTGTGGTATATATTCTATATTCTATGTAGAACCCTTTTGAAAAGGATTCTATGTAGCACCAAAAAGCTTGACATCAGACCAATACAAGAACCCTTTTTGGTGCTATATAGAAACATTTTCAAAAAGGCTCTACATAGAACCATATGCAACACATTCTCCATCAATCTGAGACCCTTTACCATGCAAAGAACCATTTTAGCATGAAATGGTTTTATATAGAAATAGGAACAATATAATTCCCTTTACTACAGAACCATCTTTTTGAGGATTGTACATGATAAACTGTATTTCTCTGGTTGTGATGTGAGACTGGTCGAATTAACACAGCTAATGTACTTAGCTTAGCCCCTTGTGTTACTGGAGTGGCTCTGGCAGCCCATGATAAGACACCTGAACTATTGTCTTTACTAAAGAACCCTTGTAGAACCATCTCTTTAAAGTGTGTAGTTGGCTACCGCTCTTCTGTTAATGCATGATACAACATTTCTAGATGAATCTTAGGTCATTTTCAAATATACATTAACTGTTAAATTCAGATTGATGGAGAATGAGTTGTAAATGGTTCTATATAGCACCAAAAAGGGTTCTTATGTTGTTAAAGTGCTTGCTACAACAGGAGAACCCTTTTTAGTGCTACAGTACATAGAGCCATTTTCAAAAAGGTTTTATATAGAACCATATACATCAACATGAACATTATGTAACAAACGTGGTTAGACTAGGCTGTATATCACCACTCCTCTATTAATGTACGGTGCATTATTTTTGATAAGGTGCAAAATGTTTCTAATTTTTGTCATCTTCTCTTGCAGTTTGAAACAAATGACAAAATATCTGCAGCAAACTGAGAAAAAACAAATATCAATAAATATTTTATTTTAAATGGATAGTTTGTCATTATTGAGATTACTCTGAAGATTTTACATTGGATTTGTTAAGAAAAAGAAATTAATATTTGATGTGAACAATGAAGTGAGAGTAGAAGCTACACTGTTTATAAAGAAAAACTGTGCAGCTCCTTGACCTGGACTGCCGTAAAGTAATTATTAATGACGTGAAAGTGTGTCTCTCACCGAGTCAATGATCCCCTGCAGCGCCTCGAAGCCGTCGTTCACAGGGAAGACGTGTTCTTTACTGTCCGCTATCATGGCCAGCTGTGAGAAGTAGAGAGAAAACACTGTGAAATCACAGCCATAACACTGCACAGATCTACAATACACCTACAACAACACCAGTGCTGCAAAGTACTGTACACTCCCTTTATCTTACTGTTTGTTGTTCGGTGCTGTTGTTTGCAGTGTATTATTTAGTGTCCTGTATTTACTGTATTTATTTAAGAGTTGGTGATTTGACAATATGTCATTGTGACAAAATCACATCAAAATATTGTTCTCTGTGTATTTGATGACCTCTAGAAACAGTGTTTGATCATAAAACATACAGATTTGGACCAATTATAGAGAGCCTGTAAACAAAAACAACCAGCATACAGTAACTGCATAAACAACATAGTAAGAAGTAGCTGATTGGACATCACCACCTTATTTTATTAATTTATTTTTACCAACTTGTACCGCTCTGTGAATTTACTTTGTCTACTGTGTTCTGGCTGAGCTGTTGTTGCTTTTGGACACTTTGGCCATTTCAAAATAATAGCACTAACAGTTGTCAGGAACAGATCTAGCATGGTAGAAATTTCACTGACTTATATCAGAGGTGGCACCCTATGACAGTGCCATGTTTAAAGTCACTGAGCTCTTCAGTACAACCCTTTCTACTGCCAGTGTGTGTCTATCAAGACTGCAAGGCTATGTGGTTGATTTTATTCACCTGTTAGCAATGGGCATGGCTAAAACAACCAAAACTCAATAATTAGGAAGGGTGTCCACATACTTTGGGACACATAGTGTAAATGACATACACTGTTGTTCTCACTGGTTTCACTGTTTTGTCCATTTTTACAGCCATAATGCAAAACAGTGCTTTATAAATGGGAATAAATCCTTCTTTATTTTCAAAGGGACTAACAGTAAAGCTTCTGTTTTGGTCAGTTCTGACCGCAGTGAGAGTAGCTCACCTGAGTTTCGTTGAAGTCCTTCACTCCCACACAGTATATGGTGGCTCCTAGCTGACGCGACCGAGCGGCCTGCAGTTCAAACACAAAGCAAGATCAGTGCAGTCTTCTCAGTGACTCAGTGGCTTATTATTCAGTAATTACAGTGAAGTCAATGCAAAGTGGCTGAGCTATTCTTATAGAAGTATGTAATACAACTTTGGGCCTGCTGGCAGACCCTGGCCAGTTAAGGGGTTAACTAGAGATGGACCGAAGAACAAATCCCAAATGAGAGACATTGGTGAATGTCAGAATCTTTGTCAAAACTTTCTTAAGAATTTCTCAGTGTTTGACTCAAGATTCTTCGTAAGTTTTTTCTTAATAAAGCTTCAATTAATCTGGCACCTGAATCTGATTGTTATCTCACCATAAGACTTTTTCAACAACCTACTTACAAAGTTATTGTTGAGACCCTGGCAGGGAAACACGGTTGTGAGGCTATATGTGTGTCTTTGCATCTTCAGTGACAAAAACAGACTGCCTGTAGATTTTTGTGTCAGTCAGCGTTGACAGTTGGAGAGAGAATGGATTCGTGAATGAAGGGGCACAGACTCAGATTTTTGGTCTCCCAACTGCATTTCATACCAGTCAGAGTTTTTTAACCCAACTCTAAGTGTAATCTAGGGTAAACTGATCAACGACTCAATCTGAATGGATTCCTGCAACAGCCAATGAAAACTGAGAGTTCAAAAGAAGAAAATACAGCAAGTAAACAGAGAAAAATGGCGAAAAGTCTTTCAGGTCTGGAGTGAAACTTTTAATGAGCTGAGTTTAAAGCACGAGCACAATTGAGTTTATGTACATTTAAAACTCTAAAAAACACACTGATCACATTTTTAAATCCATGATCCTCACTTAAACATGTTTACTGTTTTAATGCTGCTTCTTTACTGTGTCAGCGCAAACGGCAGAGAAAAGAGAAGCAGCGGCTCCACATTTGTTTATTTGCGTCTCCTAGTAACGGGTGAATGTGAGTGTTTGCAAGAGTTTAGTGAGTTGTGTGAGCTCTGTTTGGTTCAGCAACACATTAATAGTTGAGTAGTGTGTAATCCCTAATTGTTTAGTGTGTGATCCCCAATATTTCAGTCACCCAAAAATATGCAAAAACCTGTGGGATAGTGCGGGATAGTGTGTCTGTTTAGAATTTGTTAAGACTTTGAAAGTCGTGTACTGAACCCAAGGCTTAACTGTAAATTTACAGCTATTGAACTCTTATGTGATGCACACTAAACGATTAGGGATCACACACTGCACAACTTTAAATGTGTTGCTGAACCAAAATGAACGCACATAAACTCACGTGAACTCCTGTGTTGTGTTACGTGTGATGTTTAGGTACATCACATGTAAATATAAACCTTTTTTTTGCATTTTATTGACAAATTCTTGTACAAATATAGCATCATGTTGATGCTACACAGACTTATAATAGTGAGAATGGCATCTCTGTCGTTGCCACTCCTGGTTGGAATGCCTGCTATAGCGCTATGTAACTTTGGAGGAGCGACACAAGACCTGCATAGCACTTTACAACACCACGTCACACACTAACAACTCAGTTAGCTATAAGAAGCAGCAGCTTGGTATTCCCAGCATGGACATTGTGACATAGGCTGTGAGGAGAACAAGAAGACGCTGTTGGAGGAAGAGGAAAAGACAGAGTGATCAAGCAAGAGACCAGACAAGAGTAAATCTTAGACTGGCTTTTACTCACTGGTGAGAGCTAAAAGAGATAAATGGGTTCAGGACAGTCTTATGGCTAACAGGGGGAACAATGTAAATCTGACAGCAGTGTTCAACCCTGCCAGTGTTATTTATGAAAGACTGTGCCGTCGGCTGTAACCTTATCTGTGTCATTCCATTCTCATGAAGTTTTGTAGTTTTTCTAGATGCCAAAAGTCATCCTGTTTCAGGCTAACATGCAAAAAATAAAATTCCTCTCACGCCATTAACTCCTGAAATAAAACCCGGTAATGCTACTTTACCTTATAAGTCAACATGATTCTGTTATCTTTGCCGGTGTTGTGCTGAATTCTGATGCCTGGGCAGTGTGTGCATGCGTGTCATATGGATACTACAGATTAGCAAGACACTCGTGATTTCGATTGTTTACACATAGAAACCTTTGAAATCACAAGTGTAGTTTGCAGCATCTGAATGCCTGCGTGATGCGCGTGCATGTAAAGTGGATTCTGTGTCCTTCAGCTCGTTAACAAATGCACATGTACAGCTGACCATGAGGGGCGCTCAAAGCGCAATTTGTATTTACGACAGTGCTGTAAAAGTGAAATACGCAACTGTAGGGGGAGCCTAACAGCAAAAAATACCAATTCATGCTGCTTTAAATGTGATGCAAAAAAGGCTTACTTTTTTCTTCAACAAGGAGAACTGCAAAACTACAAAATTATGGACAAAGCTTAAGTATTTATCACTGACCACAAATTTACAGCACTGTTATTTTTGAAAAACATGAAATGCATGTTTATAGTACATATAAATATATATCTTTTCACAGTGCATGCAAGTGTATGCCCTGCGTACCCAGACGCTACGCCACTGCTTTAGATATGCAATGTACTTTATCCATAACTAAACTGCTAGAGATATTCAGGTTCATGTTGAGGTCACCAAGCCACACTTTTATTTTGTAGAGGGAATAAAAAGCATGGTGGGGAGTCATGAAGAAGCATTAATTATAAAGCTGAGAGTCCTTTTTTGTTCTCAGCACAGCAGTATAGCTTTGGAAGAATGGTTTTGAATGAGTGCCATCGCTTTGAGAGCAGGTTGTCGGTATTATGAAAGCACTGTTTCAGTGATGAAACGGCAGGATGCTTTGATAAAGCTGCCAAAGTGCTGCAGTGGGAACCAGAGCTGCTTCCTGACTGCGATGTGTATTCAGAATATGTTTCTGTAGCAATATTAATTGATATAGAAACCAATAAGTTGATCATAAATACTGCAGCTGTGTCGGTTTGCATAATAAAGGAGAAAGTCAGGAATAGGAGCTGTCTTTAAAAAGCCTCCACCCACGCCGGAGAGGGCGAATGGAAAAACGTGTCTGTAACTCGACCTGTTTTTTCTCTCTCACCTCTCTCGCCGCCAAGTCAAACTGAGTGTCGCGCAGTTCTCCGTCTGTCAGAGCGATGATGACGCTGGCTGTGCGGTAACCTGTGAAGGAGCAAAGCACGTAGTGCATAAAAGATCAAGTTTGAGTGATTCCACAACTTGTATTTCATATTATAGAGCCCATTAAAGAGCCTGAATTTCACTTATACTTTATGTTTTTGCCCTCTGAGATCATCTTATAGTTATGTTTTTCATGCACCAGTCTGGTACGTATATAAGCTCTCTCCTGATTGGCTGTGCTGTGCACTTTTAAAAAAGATGGTTCTACAAGGAATTTTTTGTAAAAATAAAACACTCAAAAAATCATTTGTATGCTTAAATGGTTCTTAAGACTGATGAAGAATGGTTCTATATAGCACGTTCTGCTATTGTTACAAGTTTGATATCATAACAATAGAAGATCCCTTTTTGGTGCTACACAGAACCATTTATATAGTTCTATATAGAACCATATACAACACACTCTCCATCAATCTAAAGAACCATTTCACCTTGGAGAGAACCATTTAAGCATGCAAATGGTTCTTTGGGTGTTCATGGTTCTATAAAGAACTATTGTCTTTACTGAAGAACCTTGAAGAACCATCTTTTCTAAAGACTGTATTCTGCCCTTATTCTGGCTGAAACAATTCAATGTGAATGAGCGGAGCTAATACATCTAAATGTGGCATCACAAAAACCTTGAATTAAACCGGGCTGTTTGTGCGGCTTAGTTTCCGTACTTGAACTGTATGAATTGGGGAGTGAATGTTACTTTTTTGTAGGCAGCATCATTAAGCAAATTATTCTAAAATTTAGAAGCCTAGCAAGTTTCATGTTTGACCCCAACTCTTGCTCTCTATGTAGCCATTTATTTGAGGACACCTGAAAGTGGCATCTATAAAACTTTTACAAAAGAAAAAATATAAATGGAGTACCGCAGGGATCTGTCCTGGGGCCTATATATATGTACACGCTGATCGGAAGTCCGTCTGTTTCTCTGCATACTTTATTAGCCCCCTTTTACCTTGTTCTTCAGTGGTCAGGACCCCCATGGACCCTCACAGAGCAGATACTATTTGGGCGGTGGATTATTCTCAGCTCTATAGTAACACTGACGTGGTGGTGGTGGTGTGTTAGTGTATGTTGCGCTGGTCTGAGTGGATCAGACACAGCAGTGCTGCTGGAGTTTTTTCACAGTGTACACATACGCTGATTTAACATTTTAAACACAATAAAACATTTAAATCCAAAGTTATCACGTTGCACATGTGAGCATGAGCCTCACTTTAGTTTGGCCTAAAATACAAACACTTACAAACACACACTTGATGTGTTTGGTGTGTTTTACATGATTGCATTTGGTGTATGTAGTCATTGTTATAAGAGAAATCTTCTGTTTTTTTGGATATGCTTGTCTAAAAAATAAAGGCCCTCATTTTTATCTGGCTACACTTTACAGGAAAAACATCTCCTTTATGTGGCTTTTTATATAAATGCTGCTGCATTCACTTTTAAACCATGTGATTGTTTCCTCCACAGCATCTCTGATTATTTCCACACTTAGATTTGTGAAACAGATTCATAAGCACGAAGAAAGCAGCACAGTTTGTTATTGTGTGGAAATCACAGGCTTTAGTCTGGCTTGGGCCAGAAATCTCATTTCATTCCGCAGAATTTGCAGTCAGTTCTAACACAACACCTTTAGAATGACAGATGTGCTAGATGTAGCGTTTGATGGACAGTATCTCCAAGTTTAGGTCCATTTTTCAAAGACCACTGAGTCTCATTTATCCTTACATGCTGTATTTTTTACTCTTTTGCTTCAGCAGAGGACAAGTTGCATGCGCAGCTCTGTCCTTTTCACTGCATCTTGTTTATGATATTTTGGAGTAATTAAAGTCAGATATATTTCATTAGAAGCAGAATCAACTCACCATCCCCAGTTGCGTAGTAGATCTGCTCACTTGCCTAAAAACAGAGAACAAACCATGTTAAAGATATTAGCTGAGGTCAGTACCCACAGAGCTTTGCAGTGATCTGAAATCAAAATGAGTTAAGACATCTATTTACCCATAAGGAAAAAATTATATTCCAAATGTATTTACCAAATACATTTTTGTAATGTATGAAAATGGGCAAAACATGTATTTGTTAAATATATGTTTAAAATGCATTCATTAGTATTTGTTATGATCTTTGTTCAGCTGTATGTAATAAAGGTTACAGATGTAACTAAACTGTACTGACTTCTGTGATCTGCATTGTACTTTACATTAACCATGTACGTATGCAGCAAGTCACTCACACACAATGTATTTCAAATAAACAAGATATCAAATCATAACTGCATTTTCACAGAGTATCAATACCTACAACACTCGCTTTTGTCTTGTTAAAGGTTCATTTGCTAATATTTAAAATGAAGATACTGGAATACAAATTCATTTCAAAAGGTATCAAACAGTACATTAGACAGGATTTGGGCTGTTTTCATATATTTTTCAAATGGATTTAATAAACACATTTACATACATTTATTTTTGTATAGTACATTTCTATGTGTAATATTTCACCACACATTTTGAAATAGATGTATTTTAAAATATATTTGGTTAATATGGCAAAATATTCTGAATACATTTTAGTGTTTAGTGCATGTATTTCAGCATTGACTGCAATGTGTTTGAAATGTATTTTAAATATATAGAAAAATATATGTCCATATATTTTTTTCCATATGGGTTTTCTGCTTTTTTTCCTTATCCTGAAAAATGTGTCCTAGTCCACTTTCACTGGATATTAAATAAATGATGCGCTTTAAAGGAAACTGTCTTTAAGATTATGAAGAAGGTCCAAACCTTAGACTTGTATCAAATGTGCAGAAGTAAATCTCTCACCCGCTCGAAGCCCTTGTGCATGAAGGTATCTCCTCCTGGTAACACTTGCATGAGCTGCTCCAGTCCAGCTCGGATCTGATCCCTAAAGCAAACGCACACCCACATGGTAGATATACAAAATATATAAGAAGATACAACATTTTCACACCACATTAACAGAAACAACAGTAAACATCGCTGCTGTCGGAACAAAACCTTTCAACTCAGAAGTCTGATTACACTGACTTACATTAATAGTAAATTATGTTATTCCTTCTCTTGTAAATGTATAATTTTTGAGATACGTGTTTGTTCCAAGAGCAGCGACATACTTTGTGTATAGATTTCTCTCAATTCCTATACAGAATATTCCTTAAATTTGATTAAAAATCATGAATATTTCTTTTAACTTAAAACTAATAAAACTCTGCATTATGACAAGCTATCTTTTATACTCTTCACAGAAAAAAAATGTGTTTTATTAATAAAGCATCATCCCATAAGTGGTTCCTCAAGGGTTCTTTAGAAAAGGGAATGGTTCTGTTTAAAACTAAGCATTCTATATAGAACCATTTGCATGCTTAAATGGTTCTTTGCATGGTGAAATCGTTCTTCAGATTGATGGAGAATGTGTTATATAAGGTTCTATATAGGACCTTTTTGAAAAGCGAAGAGGGTTCTTCTATTGCTACAAGCTTGACTGTGTAATAATAGCGGAACCCTTTTTGGTGCTATATGGAACCATTTACCACACATTCTCCAGAACCAAGAGCTATTTCAGCATGCAAAGAACCAGTCAAGCATGCAAATGGTTCTAAACAGAACCATTCCCTTTACTAAAGAACCTTTTGAACACCTGAAGAACCAAAACATCTTTTTGAAAGTAAAAGCAACACAGATTAAGAAAGGGTAAAGAACAGGGTGAAAATATAGGACGTCAGCTCAGTAAGTGGCAGAATAAAGTTATGACAACAGAAGAGACGCTAACTTTTCCATTGATAGAGAGGATGTGGAAATGGTGGACAGCTTTGCTTTTGCCTACTTGGATCAATTATTAACAACAGAGTATTCAGCACTCAAAATATGACTCATTCTGGCACTTGGCAGAACAAGAATGAAGGAGCTTGAAAAGATCTTCAAATGGAAAGATTTGTCCTTGCAAACAAAGACCAGAGTTGTCCAGGCTGTGGTCTTCTCTGCGGTTCATTATGGGTGTGAACGCCGGACAGTAAACAAGCAAGAAAGGAAAAATATAGATGCCTTTGAACTGAAGATTTTGAGAGAACCTTGGACAGCAAAGAAAACATAAAACAAAAGAATGTTTTCTCGAACAAATCAAGCCTGACCTCTTACTGAAGAAACTGAAGATCTTTCTTTGGACAGATTCTGAGAAGAACTGATTCATTGGAAAAGACAATTATCCTTGGAAGAGTTGAGGGTAAAACAGGAAGAGGATGACCAGCTACAAGATAGATGAAGATGGTCAGAGGAATCATGATCCAGCCATTTAGAAGCTTAAAGACCGAAACCGAAGACAGGACATTCTGGAAAAACCCTTGATAAAAAAACAGCATAACAAGCATATGTTGTGTTTTCGATGCTGGTATGCTGGTCAAGCAACATGACCATGCTGGATGACCAGCATAATAAAGCAATAAGCCACTTGAAAACTCCCTAACTCCCATTCCCGTGATGAAATCACAGTAATGCACGGCCTCAAGTGGCGGCATAAACAAGTATTCCGCCAAGAAATGTAGTTCCTTTAGGGTACAGTATAGTTGCCAAGCAACTATAGACTTGAATGAGGAGAATTGTCAGTCATCCATCGCTGTATACTGTGGTCATTTCATGAACTTTTTAACTTTTTGTCGTATAACACAGCACTGTTTAATGCAAAACCTGATTACCACCTTGATTCTTATTTAGCACCAATCTAGCGGTGCCCATCTTCTCAAGCTGGGGCTGAACCTCAAACGGCTCCCTGCTCCCTACATAGTGCACTACGTAGGAATTTGAATACTGGATCCTGCAGCCCAACAGTGCCAAATACAGCTAAGAAATAGTCATTTGGGACTCAGCCACATCCATACTTGATAAATGGTGCCATATTTGGCTGTAGAGGCTAGAATTTCTAAACTTTCATAGCTAGTACACTATTTAGGGAATACAGAGCCGTTTGGGATTCAGTCTGTGTTTGACGCAACTTCTGACTGAAACACAGACATTTAAAGCACGTAATCCATTCAAGTGACATTTTTTGGACTTTTATACTGCTGTGTTACAGTTAATCAAACCATAAGAACTTTAAATCAAGTCTGTGATATTAATGATGGAGGTATTTAGGCTGTTTGCTATCCTTTAGCCTGTTAGCTAGCTGACCAGCCTAGTTCTAGTTAAGAAAATAAGTTGCCAGCCCTTCAAGTTTGGACAAAAAATGGGTTCTTACTTCATTAGTACACTTGGTGGTCCATGTGAGCAGCATTAGAGTCAAACATTATTCCATTAACAGCAGAAGGGTTTTTGGTGCCATGGCAAAGTAATACACAATTCAGTTGTTGTGAGGTGGTCGGTGGGCATGTATTATGGATTTTACAATGGCATCGAAAGTTGCTCAGCTAGATATGGTATGTACAGGTATGACAACAGATTCATTAAAACTGAACATTAGTTTCTTGACATTCTCAGTTTTAAGTATCTTGTTTTTTAATGTTGTAAGTGCCCAACATTAGCTAACATTATCTGCACTTGTATTCCAGCCATGTTTATCAGCAAAACATTAACATTTCTGAGTAGCAGAGCTTACAAACATTTAGTTGTCATCAAATTAGCGTCAGTTAAACTCTATAAAAAGAGAATGCCAAAGACAAAATCTCCAAACACCAGCTAACACAAAGCTAACTTGGTGGCTAATTTAATAGCTAGTGATAATGCTAACTTTGGCTAACGTTTACAGTACATGAGCAGTTTAGGTACATGTTTACATGAATACTGTCTAACATTATTATATAATTCCCAACACATCTGATCTTACCACAAACAGCAAGTCCCCTACTCTGACACAACGGTGCAGATTTCTCTCACAAACTGTGAGGTGAAGGTTAAAATGCCCAGCATGCTTAAAAATTCAAATAAACGACAGTGGAATTTAAATAGAAATTAGAAGTTAGAAATCACTGCAGAAGTATATCCTATTTACAGACTGAAGTTAGCTTATTTGCCAGCTTCTGACTCCAATTTTTTGGTCTACCTTAAATGTTTAAGGTGGTACGGAAAATCAGAATACGAAGCTGATGAGCAGGAATTTGACTTTTTTGAAGTTTTTTGCACATATAATTTTACTGCTGTGTTCATCCTTCTGTTCTTAGGAAGTTTCTCCATTTGCATTGTAGTTCCTCTCAGTAGTTCTTCCTTTTGTTCTTAGGGAGTTTCTTTGCATCTTGGTTCCTCTCAGTGGTTCTTCTCATGCTCTTAGGGAGGTTCTTCTGTTGGTACATGGTTCTTATTAGTGGTTCTTCCTCATGTTCTTAGAAACTCTCTCCTTTTAAGTCTTGGTTCCTCTCAGTGGTTCCTCCTTATGCTCTTAGGAAGGTACTGGACAGCTGCTTTTGTACAATGACTCTTGTAGAAAGTGCCATACAATGAAACTGAATTGAATTAAATAGTGCTGCACAGCCGAGGTTTTCAGATAACCACAGTGCTCCCAGTAAAAGAACCAACGGTGTATAAATAAACTCACTGTGATTTTGACACACTCTAAATTGGGATTTAACAGTGGAATTATAAAAACTATTGGTTGGATGTCTATAATAAACAGTCACACTGAAGAAGAAGTCAAATTGATGTTTTTGAGGTGGTTCAAGCCTCAACTTTCATTAATTTTAGATGGCTTATTACTCTGGAATAGTGAGAGTAGTGCTTTTTGGAAATAAAGAAGATCAGAAATGTTTGGCAGGTTAGAACTGATGAATTCAGTTATGAATTCATGTATTTGAGAGTGTTTTAGAGTCTTGCCTGTCTTCTGTCAGCTTCATCAGAGTCCGACCCTCCGTAGAGAAGACAATGAAGGACATCCGGAGCTGAGGACTGAACAGAGAGAGAGTTAATAAAGACAGTGAGAGCTGTCTTTCTCCTGTAACTACAGACACTATTCAATATTTAGTTCTGCACATGTACATTTTTCCTTCATCAAGGTACAAACAATGTAAATGTGCCCTCAAGGGTACAGAAGTGGTTTTGTACCTTAAATAAGTTTATCCATGTGAAAAGTACATATTTGTACCTTTTCACTACTGAATGTTTTAAAACAGAACAATGACATAAAAAGCCTGGAGACGGGATGGGGTGTGTGGAGTCAATACAACTTAGAAAATATAATTCCAATGGATTATGGTACAATAATGTCCCCTGACTAAAGGTACTGAGAAGTGCCCTTGAGGGCACTGCCCAAGTGACAGCTGACTACCTTTATTTCTGAGACTGTACAGACCCTTAGAGTTTAAGAGATTAAAGGAGAGAGTAATATTCGACTAGATTGTGGCTGCCAAAAACGCTGAGCAGGCTACGTTCACATTACCAGGCACAAATCAGATTTTTTGCCTTAATGTGACTCAGATCTGATGTTTTCAGAACTGTGTGGACACACAAATCTGATCTTTTCAAATCCAACCTCAGCCACTTTCATATGTGGTCCTAGATTGGATATGTATCCGATTCGTGGCCATGAGACCTTAACGTGAACGCTCAGATCGGAATTCATGTGCTTTTTTTCCACTGCGCATGCGCCATCATTCAGCGTTACCATAGCAGCAGCTGTGAACAGACGTTAAAGCCCGTGGCAGCAGCACAGAACAGAAGTTAAGACCTCTAAATGGTGGAAAAGCAACACATCTGACCTTTTTTGCCTTCATCTCACTCTAATAATGAACAGCTGAGAGCTGTTCGGATTTCAACCTGGTAATGTGAATGTAGCCTTTCATATGTGGTCCTACATTGGATATGTATCTAATTCGTAGCCATGCGACCTTAATGAGAACGCTCAGGTCGGAATTTGAGTGCTGAATTCAAGTGCTTTTTCCATTGCGCATGCACCATCATTCAGCGTTACCATAGCAGCAGCTGTGAACAGACGTTAAAGCCTGTAAACGATGATAAAGCAGTTGAGAGCTGATCAGAGCAAATTATCTTCACAGCTCTGCCTGCTGGTCAGTTTATTTGCTGTTTATGATGCACATGATTCATTCATGTGACTTTAGTGATTAGGACGTGCACATGCGGGTCATTTCAGAGCGCCAATTCATTCACATTAATGACAGCCATGTAGCTCCACATAGGTGAGTCCATACCTGATGAACTTGTGCGTCAGGTGATCCACAAAGTAATAAATCTCATTCCAGTGGTGCTTAACGCTGCCAGATCTGAAAAAAGAGCAGAGCATGTGAAGACTGCGTTGTATTCAGGACAGAGAGAACCCACACTGGATATCCTGGAGATAATCCTCACTACAATACTACAGTACCGCTACTATTACTATTACTATTACTGATAATAATACAAGAATTATTGTTTTAATTTCAATTTAATTTAAAAGAATTAAATGTTTATAGACAACAGTGAATCATACAATGTCAGAAACCACATAATCAAGTCATAGCAGCCATACATACAGAGCTGAGAGGAGATTAGTCTGACTGTTCTGGAAAATGTGTGATTAGGCCAAACTGATGCGAAAAGCAGGAGATCCACTTATATATATTGCTCATATTTCCCTTTTGTTTTTTTGTTTTTTAACACATTTCATGAATTTTCTCCTCTGTATGTTGTATTTTACTAATTTTCTAAATCCTACACTCTTAAAAAAGTTCTTCAAGGGTTCTTTATTATTATTAATAATAATCATTATTATTATTATTAATAATAATAATATAGCACCTTATAGTACACAGTAAAAATGGTTCTTCAAGGGTTCTATATAAAACCATGAACACTCAAAGAACCCTTTGCATTATTAATAGGTCCCCTCATGGTGAAGTGGTTCAGATTGATGGAGAATGTGCTGTATATGGTTCTACACAGCACCTTTTTGTAAAAGCGTTCTTTTATTGTATACAAACTTGACATCATGACAAAGCAGAACCCTTTTTGTTGCTATATAGAACTATACACAACATATTCTCTGTCAACCTGAAGAACCATTTTTAGTATGCACTGTAAGGTGCTATACTATTATTATTATTATTATTATTATTATTATTATTATTATTATTATTATTATTATTATTATAACCTTAAGCTAAGCTATAATAAACATTTTTATTATTTCTGCATGTGTTTATTTATTTTTTATTGCTATTACTGCTACTAAGATAACCACAAAAGAGTAATAAAATAAAAACTTTCTTCACTCAAGCATCTTCTAACATAAACTTTATTTACTCCAAGTTTCCACAATAAATACAGAGAAGTGTCTGTAATGTTTGAAATTAATGCTGTAAATGTTTAGATTTTACTCTCAGTAAGTGTCTGCTGCGAGACAGTGTGATATTCCCCTTGCGCTTAAAGTCTTTAGACAAGAATAACTCTAAATTTAACTGTGGGGATCTAAATTAAAGCTGGTCTGTTTTGGTCCTCTATTAGAGATACTGAACAACAATGGTTTAAAACAAGTGAGTTTTAAACCATTAGACACACAGTTGGCACCATGCTAATTGGTGGGGTGTAAGCTTACATTACTTGTTAGCTACATTAGCCTCATAACTCCAGCCAAATATGTCTGATTTGCTATATCTGGAGTAAGAGGGGCTAAATGTGTAGGTCTAATTTTGGACTGTCACTTCAATCTCATCTGATTTTAAAGAGCCCATATCATGCAAAACCGGATTTTACTTGATTTTGTCGAAATAAAAGAGTTTGATGTAGTAAGTTTCAACATGTGCTGTTCACTCCCCAGTACATACAGTCCATATATGGAAAGTAAATTGCAAAAACAGCCCATTTTTTAATTGTGATGTCATAAAAACATATTCATCTATCCGCATATTCGGCCTACAGCAGTTTAGCCCCACCCACTCACACAGAAGTTATAAGGAGTGTTTCAGCCTGGATTGCTTTTTGATCGAGTCACAGCCAATCAGAACAAAAATGATAATGTAGAAATGAAATATGACTGGTTTTGGTACATAGACATAAAATGTTATGAGTGGACCTCAGTGAAAAAAGTACAATATGGGCCCAGGCTTATTACACACTAAGGCTGATTATTCAGTAACTACAGGGACTTCAGTGCAAATTGGCAGAGCTATTCTTAGATCATAGATGTGTGTAATAAAACTTTGGCTGCCGGTGGACCCTGGCCATTAAAAGGGTTAAGAGGAGTGGCAGCCACTGTAATCTAGGCTTGAAGACTAAGTGCACTAATGGCAGCAGTTTTTTTATACTGGTGTCAATGTCCATCAACAGAGATCAGATCCACAGCATGGTGGGTTTTTGCAATATAATACTGGGCCTCATCCTCCAACATCTTTCTGAGTTCTTAAATATGTTCTTGAGAAAGGTTCTAAGAAAAAGTCTATGTCAGATTCATGACGTGTTCTTAAAGTGCAGAACTGTTCTCACCTTTGTGCTCTTGAGTGTGTGTAGATTCTGTTCTTACCTAAGTACAAATCTCAAATAAGAAAACTTTGGTGAATGTCGGAATCTTGGTGAAAACTGTGTAAGTGGGTTTTAAGAAGAGATTTCTTCTTAAGAATGGTTGGTGACTGAGGCCCAGTGTTTATAAGAAAGCTTAGAACACTTTAAAGGGTTATGATAAAGGTCATATTCTACATTTTTATTGCCTTGGTATATATGTGCGTGTTTTTAAACAAGCAAGTTCTACATAATTGTTTTCCAGCCTCTCTTTATTCTTTACTGTCACATATCCCTCCGGCTCCGACTCATCCAGGGACTTTGTTTCCCAGAACCCCCTTGGAGATCACGTGACTGTAGAACCTCTTTAAATCACCAATCACTATTCTCAATCACTTGAATACTGTAAATGAGCTCTGTTCTGATTGGCTTGGCATCATTCAAAAGACAGTGGCTTGAAACACTCCTTATAACTTCAGTGTGAGTGGGCAGGGCTAAACTGCTGTAGACTGAACAGGCAGATATGTGTAAATGAGTTGTGACATTACAAAAACAGTGGATCTATAACAGGCTGTTTCTGCAGGTTAGTTTCTATATGTGAACTGCATGGAGTGAACAGTATGTTTTGAAACTTTAATCATGTTTTCATACTATGTCACATTTTTAATTACAGAAAGTGAGGAAAGTTCAGTTTTTCTCTGATATGGGCCCTTTAATGCAGTGAGGAAAGTGAGCTCTGCCGGTGATTACAGCCTTCTGCTGCACAGACAACGCAACACATTCACATGATTCGTGATTAGGCCTGACGATCACTTGACCTGTTGAAATCGAAGGGCCATTTCAGTGGAAGGGAGCGTTATGAAGGTCAGAGGTGTCTGTAAAGGGTTCAGGTGATTATTTTTTTTAAACAAAAAATGGCAGCCATACATACAGAGCTGAGAGGAGATTAGTCTGACTGTTCTGGAAAATGTGTGATTAGGCCAAACTGATGTGAAAAGCAGGAGATCCACTTATATATATTGCTCATATTTCCCTTTTGTTTTTTTGTTTTTTAACACATTTCATGAATTTTCTCCTCTTTATGTTGTATTTTACTAATTTTCTAAATCCTACACTCTTAAAAAAGTTCTTCAAGGGTCTTTATCTTATAATAATAATTATTATTATTATTATTAATAATAATATAGCACCTTATAGTGCACAGTAAAAAATGGTTCTTCAAGGGTTCTATATAAAACCATGAACACTCAAAGAACCCTTTGCATTATTAATAGGTCCCCTCATGGTGAAATGGTTCTTCAGATTGATGGAGAATGTGCTGTATATGGTTCTATACAGCACCTTCCTATAAAAGCGTTCTTTTATTGTATACAAACTTGACATCATGACAAAGCAGAACCCTTTTTGTTGCTATATAGAACTATACACAACATATTCTCTGTCAATCTGAAGAACCATTTTTAGTATGCACTGTAAGGTGCTATACTGTTATTATTGTTATTATTATTATTATTATTATTATTATTATTATAACCTTAAGCTAAGCTATAATAAACATTTTTATCATTTCTGCATGTTTATTTAATTTTTATTGCTATTACTGCTACTAAGATAACCACAAAAGAGTAATAAAATAAAAACTTTCTTCACTCAAGCATCTTCTAACATAAACTTTAAGCTTTATTTACTCCACATTTCAATAAATACAGAGAAGTGTCTGTAATGTTTGAAATGAATGCTGTAAATGTTTAGATTTTACTCTCAGTAAGTGTCTGCTGCGAGACAGTGTGATATTCCCCTTGCGCTTAAAGTCTTTAGACAAGAATAACTCTAAATTTAACTGTGGGGATCTAAAATAAAGCTGGTCTGTTTTGGTCCTCTGCTCTGCTCGCTCGTCTGGCGGAGTTTCTGCGGCGCAGACGGGACACAGAAGAATGTGTGCTTACGTAAGAACGTTCAGACTGAATCAACACCAAAAAAACTCCTTTCATTCTCACTAACTGGTCCGCAGGGAATCAGCTCTGAGCTATTATTACCGCTAACAGCTTCAGCAGCTGCAAATACAGAAATGAGTGACACAACAGCTTTTACAGACAGAGCTAAAGCAAAATCCCTCTCCATACGGTCTATATACGGAATATATATATACACATATATATCGACTACAGCAGTTTAGCCCCACCCATTTAGCCTACAGCAGTTTAGCCTCGTCCATTTAGCCTACAGCAGCTTAGCTCCACCCATTCAGTGTACAGCAGTTTAGCCCCGTCCATTTAGCCTACAGCAGTTTAGCTCTGCTCATTCAACCTACAGCAGTCTAACCCCCCATTCAGCCTACAGCAGTTTAGCCCCACCCATTCCGCCTACAGCAGTCTAACTCCCCCATTTAGCCTACAGCAGTTTCGCCACACCCATTTAGCCTACAGCAGTCTAGCCCCGCCCATTCAGCCTACAGCAGTTTAGCCCCACCCATTAAGCCTACAGCAGTTTATACCCACCTATTTAAACTGAAGTCATAAGGAATGTTTCAGCATGGACTGCTTTTTGAATGAGTCATGATGCAGGACAGCCAATCCAAACAGAGCTCATTTACATATATTAGACATAGCTGTTTAATTCTCAGGGATAAAGAGAGGTTGGAAAATGGTTGTATTAAAATTAATTACGACTGTTTTGGGTACAGAAACAAATGTTCTAAATAAATTTCTAGGGAAAAATAAAATATAAGCAAAAATTGTGGGGTATGGGCCCTTTAATGCGTCTTTGTGTTTTATCCTCGAGGGCCAAATAC